GCATACATGTGGACAAGCCTGTAGCAGATGAATATGAAATGCAGAAGCCCTAAAGGGTGTTTCACAAAACTTGTCATCAGTGACAAATGACAGTTTTTGTTATAAGCTACTGAAATCCTTACTTCTGATTGGTTATCAGCAGATTTGTCACTAATTTTTGTTATTTGCATTAATAAAAGGCTTTGTGAAACCCCCCCCCCCCCCCCCCCCCCCCCGGGGTCTGGTCCTAATTACAAACAAAAACCACCAACAAAACAACAACAAATCCTTTGACCTTATGAGTGTGACAATTTCCACTTTCAACTCCTCAGCCCATCGCTAGTAGAAGATAGTGGAGTATAAAAGATGCCAAGGCAATGATCCAACATAACAAATGCAAAGAAATAAGTGACCTTTGAACCTTGGTCTGACAATAACAAGTTTGTGGCATGATGACTCTACTCGTACTTATACCCATTACCAGTGGAAAGTAATGGAGACAAAGAAAACTGTGTAATATAATATAAAGAAAGGATTTTAAAGACTTTAAACCCATAATCTGATAATCGAAAATTCACAATCATAGCATTGATTCCACTGGCAGACTCGACTCCTTATGACTGATCACCAGTAGAAATGTCATGAGAATCCGTCATGTGGCCCTGGGGCCCATTTCACAAAGCCTTTTTTCAATGACAAATGATAAAATCAGTGACAAAATCTGCTTATAACCAATCAGAAGCAAGGATTTCAGTAGCTTATAACAAAAACTGTCATTTGTCACTCATGACAAGTTTTGTGAAACGCCTCCCTGATCACACACATATAGAAACAAATACAGACACAGTTGACCTTCGACCCTTCGGTCACACAGTACAAAGTTCACGACATTGACTCTCTAACCCATCACCAGTAGAAATTGGTGGATATGAATGATGCAGCAGCACCGATCCAACTACCTCGCCTCTCCTCGTCACCCTGGTCGATGTTCTTGATGGCTTTGTTGTGGCACCCTCTGATAGGACTGTTGTCCTCCGGGAGGTAGTCTGGTAGACTGTGATGGCTGTTCTCCTTGTTGGCCATGGCTGGGTTGGCACCGAAGGATAGGATCACCTGTGTGATGATGATACCAAGCCAAAGAGCAAGAGCGTTCATTTATACTGTTTTTCTTCACTAATGATAAATTATAATGATTAAAGCCCCACTGCACTACTTATAGCTACTTGCGCCCTCTATATAGCAAACAATGCCTAATCGGTGCCTGTTGGTCCCCCATGGTCCTCTTTTTTTATGTTAGTTGAGAGCTGGCTCGATGAGATAACCACCTGTCCAGCGACCTTGCAGGGTGGTCTAATCCCTCCTAGCCAAACTAGTACTGATAGGCTTTAAAGAGATTTAAATGTAGTAGGAAGTTTCCATACTCAGGTCATAATTCGCTGACACTGGACTTAGTGGAAATACATGTACCATCAATGGGTGTACAAGTTTCTCGCACAGAGAAAACTGGATGTCCCAGCAAGAAATGCCCCCCCCCCCCACCCTCTACCTTTTTAGAGAGCCTTTGGGTGAAGGAAATGTACCATGATGCTTTTCCTTATAGAGTGAAAGGCAAAAGGAGCAGTGATTTACGTAATGCCGGTTGGTCAAAAAAGTGAAGGCCTCTCCCTGTGACTGATGCCTAAATATATACCTTATTGCCCCACAGCATTTTACAACAAATTGTCTGTTTGGACTGGAGCCAGGAGGGCATACACTGATATGATTTTAAACCGAGCAAATGCTATTCTTGGTCCACAGATACAAAACTTAGTTTTAAATAAATTACTGATTCATAATTAAATTTCTTTTCTTCTAAAGACAAAAATAAAGTATCAGGAAATTAACATGTACAGACAGAAATTGACCTCATTGAATAACCTACATATACTTGTCTGGCCTCAAAATAAAATCACCTATAACGAAGCATGCATAATATAAACTTCATGCCCTGAATGGTTCTAAAATAACGAACCAAGATTTAAAAACAAATTACTTTGGCCCAATTGAACATAACCCCCCCCCCCTCCCCTCCCCTCTGAGTAGTTAATGTCCCTATTACAAGATACATGTACCTTATTTAACAAATAATTTCTAGGTTTACTCTTCTTACCTCTTCACCATGTTCATTCTTAACGACTTGCTCGGCTGACATTGTCTCCGTCCTTGAAATGGCAGCAATAAGCACCTGAAAGAAAATGAGAGAAAAAAAGAAAGAAATAAAACCCTCATCAATTCAGTATTCAACACCAATAGGCAACTCATAAACATTGGGCCTCAAATATTGTATATTGGTACAAGGAAATCTATATTATATCCATAACTTACAGGTGCCTCAAACACTATGAGTGCATGGTACATAAATATCCTTCATCAAGAAATGAAAAACTAAGAATGTAAACTATAAAGAAATAAATCAAAAATCAATTATCAATTCACACCTTTGTCCAAAATACACACAATCCCCCCCCCCCCCACACAAATACACACTGTGCTTGAGAGTTGCCCATTCCACAGTGGCTGTGTGTTTTCTTTTATTGGGGGGGGGGGGGGGTTGATTTTGTTTTGAAATACTTTTTCCCTCAACAAACAAAATCGAAAACATTAATTGCATAATTAAGATACAAGATAGTGCAACATTATATTACATAAACCTTAATACAATTAGCCTATACTTATAACCTCATCAATATAATACATGAAAGTAATAGCTTATAACAACTGTATATTTGATACATGTGTAACAGGTCAAAATTGTATTGTTTTATGCTGAGATTTCTGGTATGTAACTGGGATTTGGCTGGAATTACTGTTGGACTTAGCCGGGATGAAGTATTTAATATTTATTCCGAAACCTCAACATGAGACCGGAATCATGCATGGAAGAAATACTGGGGCGACTTCTAGGAACAGTAGGGTTTATCTCTCTACCATTGTTTTTCTGTTAACCTCACGGAGAGGCCGAAAATGTTTTTGACCCCATAAGTTAGTGGGGAGTCCAGTTCAATTAGATAAATCTGTCAATTTCATTCAAGTTCATAAAGATGTGGGTGATATAAATATCTGAAATAAATCATAGTATATATTTAAAACAATAATGGACAAAAATGGATGGCTGGTTGTATAAGATTATTCAATATCTTTCGGATACAAATCTAGTCATTTCGAAATGATCTATTCATCACAGTAAAGAAAATGGTTTATACTAGGATCCTATCATTTGTTCCTTTAATGAATGAAATTCTCTGCCTGAACTGCACTTTCCTGCGTGATAAGCCTGCCAATAAAGATCAAATTACGTCCCTCTTAAACACAAATCTTGAGCAGCCTGGGAAAACCTAATGGAGCTTATAATTGATATTGACATGTTTCAGCTGTTCCTATAACCATGAGCTGCAGGGTTGCTGGGGTGTACTCTAGTCTTTATTCACAGGGGGTGGGGGGGGGGGGGGAGGGTCAATTTGACTTGGTAAAAACCTCATTAAGATAGGGTTAATGAAGGGGGGAGGCGGGGCCGCTAGGGGAGGAGGGGGTTGTGCTTTATCCCAAGTAGCATCTTTCCATACTAACTTTTTAGCATAGGGGCTACATTTTCAATCAAAAGAAGGAATAAAGGAGATGTGGGAAGATTTGTGCTTTATCCAAGTACATAGCATCAACATAATAGGGAGAAATAATACATGTAAGTAAAAATAAAGAGAGAAAGGAGGAAAGGAATTTTAATAGGGAGAAATAATACATGTAAGTAAAAATAAAGAGAGAAAGGAGGAAAGGAATTTCTGTTGCAAGGTTGTTTCTTCAGTAGTGATCAGTAATTTTCTGATCTTGTCACAAGAATTTTCTGGTTATTTTTGTGATTAAAATGTAATTGAAGGCTATTCCTTCTTTTGATCGAAAATATAGTCCCTACAATAACAAATTTGGTATCAAAAGATACTCCATGTTCATGTACTCGCTTTCCAAATGATGACATTAATTTCAGTTTTCTTTGGGATTTAAATTTTTCTTTCAAAGATAGAATCAATTTTTAGCTTTCTGAGCAATTCTATCAATCATCATCCATCTATCGGTAGAATAAAAGTGGAGATAAGAAACAATGCCTGTACACATACAGGACAAAGTGCCCTTTAAAAGACCAATTTTCAACCTTGGCACAGATGCACATGTATGTGGAACATTCACAAGCATAGCCGTTTGATGCAATACCTGTGTAAATTCCTGTTTCACTACATCATAACAGGAAAGTGCACTGCATACATCAGTTTTCTAGGTCATCAAATATGAACTTCAGAAGTTAATACGAAAGCAAGCATTCATTTTGGGTAAGCCTGAATTTAATGACCGGGTAATAATGTATATGTAAAGTGCTTAGAGTTAGACACATCATTGCATTGATGTACTGTATTGGGCGCTATATCAAAGCGGAATATTATATTATTATTATTCTCGTTGCATTCTTCGCAGCAGGAAGTTGGATTTTAAATATTGATTTTATGAAGAAGAAAATCTGGATTATCATACACAGATCAAGGTCTTTCAAAAAACAGTTTATTTTGGGGCAGGCCTGCAAGGTATTTGAAAGTGATAAAAGAAACATGTGCAGATGGCTTTCAAGATTCTTTAAAGGGACTGGGTAACTTTGTATTAGATTCTGAAACAAAATCCTGGATTTAGCTCATGCTGCAATGATAGTTATAAGCCTTTAGGTCAGTCAGGAACCCCATGACTTTCACAAACCGATCGCCTGTCTGATTTTCAAGATATTTATGATTGGATATCGAAATTTCATTTTTTGTTTTCCTTATAGATTTCATTACACTACAGTCTAATGGGGAAAAAGAGTATGGTAAAACCTTAAAGATTTTTACCCTTTTGAATTTGAGGCACTTCATGGCTTCAATATTAGACCACACAGACACTGATAACACGTAGGGCCATGCATCTCAGATTTAACATTGTTAAACGATGCCTTTAAGCAAGCTACATCTAAATTTGGGGGTGGGGGATCAGATTTTACTTTCTGCAAATCGTTTCTCTACACACAAAAAAAGAAAAAGAAAAAATTATTGGACTTGATCTCATTTTAATTAAAATCAATTTATCATGTAATTGAAAAATAGATTGATTACAGGGTGCACATGTACATGTACATGTGTATGTATACCCACCTCTGGTTTCATGTCTATTCTGGTCCTCAGCTCACAACGTTTCTTCAAAAGGTCAAAGGTGAAACTAACAACCCCTTTGACTTTCAACAGCTCTTCTTCGCAAGATCTACGGCACTCCTGGTGAATAAAGAGATTTTTTAAATGATTAATAAAGACGTCACATTTGTAAATGAAGGGCATGGCTTTACAAGTAGATGTAGTTTATTATGGCTCTGCATGACTCAAATATTGTACAAGCAACATTGACAACAAAGACTACAGTATATTGATTCTAACGTTGAATTGACAAACTAACACATGAAGACAAGAAAACAAAATTAACTGATTTATTCCAGGTATGGAACTAAAATTACTAACTTCACAAAGCTATGATGGAGAGAGAGAGAGACAGAGACAAAGAGAGGCAGAGAGAATAATTAAGGCTAAATATGTTGCAGTCTTGCAGAGGGTCCAAGGTAATATTTCTGTCAATAGAGGGCAGTCTGCAATATACCATCTTTGCCTAGAAAGGAGACACATGTATCAATGGCATGATTCTTTCATATATGGTAACAATGTAGGCCTACCATCTGCTAAAAAGCTAGAAGGTTGTTTGAACAAGAGCTAATGCCCTTTTTCATCTTAGGCTTGAACTGTCTGAACAGATTCACATTATATACCATGACCCAAGGTTCAATACAGATTATTATCAAAGTCTTTGAGTTTTCCCTGGTCGGGTTTTATGTCAACATATTATCATTATCCTTGTCTTCTCCTTGTTGGCACGACACAAAATATAAGAGACCAATTAGTTTCTTTATGGGCCAAGGAAATTCCTGATTTGAGAGATCTTTTTCATCCTCATTTTCTTTGACTTTCAACTCGATGGAAAAAAGGGAACTCAATTTTCCAGCTTTTTCCTTATTTCCAAGGTTCAGCTGAGAATCCTGAATTAATAAAATCTTAAATATATCACCAAGACTCAACAATATACTCACAATGTTCATAAGGCCATTAATCTGTAGTGTGAGGATTTTCGATTTTTTTTTCTTGCTAGTACCGACAAAGAACTTGCTACCAGGGTGCATTCCACCGCCCCTGCTCCCCTTGGGTATGTTGGGGTTACTACTCTCCTTCAAGGGGCCGGGGGTGGGTGGGGCAGTCAGTCGATTGTGGATGCTACGGGCGAGGTTCTTGCTCCTTATGTCACTGTCAGCACTGCAGAAAAGAGATGGAGTAATGGATATGTCAGCCATTCGACTAAATTGCAATAAGTTGTAACTATAGTAAGTGTAATATTTCTATTGCTCTGACATTGAAAACCATATCTTGAACCAGCATATTCAGTAAAAATTAAAAAAGATTATTAATTCAACATCTTGACATTCCGTTTCGAGCACTTCCATTCTGTGCAGATGTGTCTGAACTCCCTGCCGTAGCTGGCAGTATATACCTGCAGGACATTATAGTTAGAATTAAATAACGTCTCTATACCCTCTAGTATCACACTGATGGAAGCAAACATTCATACTTATATTTGAAATAAAGAACTGGAAAACTTTTAGTTTTAAAGATGTACAGAGTACACATGGACAATTTTATTATAATAATTTTTGTTTTGTTTTTTTGATTTTGTAATGGATAAATTTAAAACATGGCAGGGTTTTTAAATCTTGATACCTACGGTTATCCCATTTCCCCAGGAAGTCAATTTTTATCTTTGTATCCCTACATGTGTAGAAAGTAGAAACTACAATATCTACTGATTTCTTACTTGTTTGTGATAGCTTCTAGGCTAACCAGCATTCCAAGTTCTTTCTTCATTAGTGGACGGTCGACTGAACTCTCCGATAGGTACTGTATAGCCTGTTGGATTGAATACATTGTACATGTGTTTTAAAACTCTGTGCAGTGAAATAAGTTTTACCCCAAAAGAGATGTGTACCCAGTCAATGATGAAATACATTACACATGCAAAAGCACAATAATTGTTCTTCTTCTTTTTTTCTCTTTTTTTTTTATAGAATTAGATACGCATTTACTTGCATCAGCAGACTCTGCATTGGTATTGGAATGTTTTGCCCCAACACGCTTCTTAAATATTTGTTCCAAGTTAGTAATTTTGTTATCATTTACAACATAACAATTGTAGTACCGTACATGTTAATTAATTGATAGTCAAACAAGGCAAGAATGATTTCTATACAAACTTGCCAACCATCTTCTCCCCTATACAAGTTGAGCCAGATTTCGAAATAAAATGTACAAACCTCCAGTGCAGTTGACACAACAATAGGGTCATCGTTGTCCAGGAATAAAACTAAGCCAGGTAAACAACCTTGATCCTGTGGGAAATAATAGGGAAGAGAAAAATTCATTCTTATTTTAATAGATCTGATATCCTTCAAATGATTATGTCTTAAATTGGCAAGAGAGGGGGGGGGGGGGGCAGATAATGAGAATGAGAAAGAGAGAGAGAGAGAGAGAGAGAGAGAGAACTACTATTATTGACAGGGGGGGGGGGGACAATATGGTACAAATTAAGAAGACAAAGTAACAAACACGATGAAAATTTAAAACGCCTGTAAAATAACTTTACGCTATGTAGAATTCACATTTTAGATTGATTTGAAACAGCATTAGACAGGGAAAAAAATACTTAAAATATTTTGGGGGCTACTTTTACGACTTTCGGGGGCTAAATCGCCCCGAGCCCCCGTGTATTTTTTTCACTGGCATTAGAAAACATAAACAAAGCAAACAAAACATGTAATTACCTTTACAATCTTCTCCCTGTTCTGTGGATCTTTGGCCAAATCTCTCAGTTGTCTGACAACTCCCTGAACAGCCATGTCTCTTCAATCCTTGAGGTATACTGTTTCAGTCTCTGGAGAAAAGTGATTATCTTTGAAAGTGTGAAGTCTGGTCAATCATTAGAAGCGGCGTAGCATGGAGCGGATTCAATCAGTTTATATTCCTTGGACCCAATTTGAAGAATTCAGAACAAATCTCCTTGGATCCACCAAGCTCTTTCTGTGAATTCAGCATTCACTGTATTTGAAAATCAGAAAGAGGAAACAATTTAATATAAAGCTCCATTAAAAGAATTTACTTACTTCAAACTTCAAAGCAGAATAATTTTACGGCTTAAATATCAATAAGCATGCTCGCAAAGTGTCTAGATTCTACAAACTGATTGGCTGATAAGTTTTACACCATTAGCAGCTTGGAAAGAGGTAAGAACACAAACAAGTAGACTTTATTCATTTTTTGCTTTGCCTCACTATTTATAAAGGCAAAAAATAGAACTGAATAAATACTGAGATTCAAACCTGCAAGTTACCATGGCATGACAACAGCAACAAATCCAACGTTTTATTAACTACATGTAGACTACAAAATGTAAACTGTCCTTACCAATTGAGCTAACACCGAGTCGCTCGTTCGTTCGTGTCTGCTGAGATCAAGATAGTTATGTAAAGTTCCTTAATTAAAATCAAATTAAATTAATTAAGTTCTTCGATCGCCCGATTGTTGCAATGGCCGTTTCATTAATCAACAAGGGCCAGGTCTTTGTCTGTGCAACCCGTTCCACCGCACTGTAAGATGTGGTCCATCGTCTGAGTCTCTCAGACACCCTACTAGTATCAGTAGGGGCACTGCACTGGTCCGAGAATGAGGATCTTCCTTATAAACACTGACAAAATGCGTCCTCAAATTCAAAATGAGGATGGTCTGCATTTTTGCGGACTAGTCTAGATCTATAACCCAGTAGTTTAGCTGAGCTTGCTAGACACTTCACGAGCGCATTTATTGACATTATTTAAAGCCATAAAAAAAATCACAGGCTGTAGTGTAAAGATTACATATTTTGTGCCTCTGCGCTGGCCCGGCCCTGGGTTTTTACATGAAAGTGAAAGCACTTTGATTCAAAGTTTGAAAAATATCAACATGAAACAACATTAAAATATAATGCCGCACCAGATCACCTGCAAATATCTTTTTCTTCCTGTATTTCACACAACATATTCACATTGGAATGGTGTAGCCTAACTAGGGCCTACAAAAGAAAAACTGTCTGTAAAGTCACTTCACGGGCGTGAGGCTATACGGCCGGGTCTGACTCCCTCGGTCGCGGCCGGCCCGTCGGGCTGCGACCTGCGACCTGCGTGCGTCGGTACCTCACGGTGCGGCACGACCTTGCATGTAGATCTAGATTCTATATTTTACGGTAAAAAGAGGGGTTTTAGTTACCTAATCAATGGCGTAATGGTGATATACATCTGCAATGGTCACTTGTGGCTCAGAGACTTCAACTTTTTACTGGAAATGATGATATTTCTTCTGGTTTAGATCAAAACATTTCTTTTTCAGCTGCACGACACAAAATACAATTCACACAGGGTATTTAAAAATGGCGGTGTGTATGAAATTGTTGTCTCTGATTGGTCACAGCTTCCTGAATGCTCTCTTCCTATTGGTCAATACTCTGTCGGCCATTCAAAACAAAGTTTTTTCGTTCAATTTGATCTGAGGAAAATCGTATACACAACATTTTCCAGCCTAGCCTAATGCGATAATAATAAAAGTATAATAATACAATACCATGAATATAATTAAAAAATAATTGTAATTATGATAATAATAATAATAATAATAATATAATAACAATATGATAACGATAATAATAGGGCCTAATGATAATAGTATTAATAATAATTCCTATCATTATTATTACTTTTATAATTATAATAAACATAGAAAGCTATCCTCCTCCCATGTTTGTCTAAACATATACATATATCAAAGATAAAAATGCGAATTAGGCCTAGATATCCCTCAATCTTATTTCTCATTCCAGGCACATTCATGACCCCAGATAGTAGGCCTACATGTAATATATCTAAACTATTTTCACAAGGGGTGTCGCTATTATGTACCCAAAATGTAAGAGCAAAAAATAAGCTTACATAATACTCCTTAATTGCAAAGGTAATTTTGTTTTTACATGAAGGATATCATTATGCACAATTCAGTTTCCTTTCTTCCAAATTGAGTAGATTTGTACTCAAAAGAATGAATGATGATGAACGATAATATAGTGGCAACGTCAGAAGAAAAAAGAGGAATTTGTCTGAAAATGAAATGGAACATTTGAAAGGATCAAGCTAGATTTTTGTATTTTTCCATCCAAAATGATTAATTACACAAATATTCTGGGTGATTCATTTATGGGCATTATAGGAGTCTTCATCTTTCTTTCTTTATCTCCCTTGAGAGTCAAACTATTTACGAGTATATACCCCCCCCCCTTTTTTTCTCCTCTCTCTCTCTCTCTCTCTCTCTCTCTTTGCTCACCCCAGTGGCGGATCCAGGGGGGGGGGGGGGCGGGGGGCCCCCACCCCCCCCCCCCTTGAGAAAAAAATCATGCAAAAACACATGATTTTTATCCCTGGCGCTCAAGGGGGGGGGGGTGCAAATTTTTAAATTCTCTCTTTGCTCACCGGTATAAGCTTCCTGCTCTTTCAGGCTCTTTCTTTCTCTCTCACTTCTTTGCCACTATTCATCAAAAACCAAACAGTTCCATTAAAAATACAAGTACATATGTGATTTCAAACATACCACTATAATAATTCATGACAAGAAAGGTTTTCTGATCTGCAATATAATATTTTATTACAAATTCTAACTTTAAAAAAATAACAAACTAACATTTGAATACTGTCAATTGACATTTAAAAAAATACATAAACATGTACTAGGCCATAGCATGGAGGGATGTTGAGACAGCTATGCATTATTTGTATCAAAATCCAAAAGAAGACTCTCACAAAACGAAAATCATCTTTTTTTTTAATGCAGCATCATTCTGCTTGGAAGCTCCATTGTAACAATCAAATACCACAAGGCACTTCTTCTTTCTCAACTGGATAATGTAACAATTATATTTGTCATATTTAATATAAAGAAAATTTGTATGAACATTCTTTATAATAAATTTATTTCTGCAAAATTATGCTATTCATAAACAAATAAAATGTGCTTTACATGGATCTTACAAAATACTTGCATAACAAGAAAGCTACCTGTTACCAACTACTTGTTTAAATCTATCCATCCCAACGTATGACTGTGAAAAATTCAATAGAGTTGTAAGGAAAAGGTCCCAAGATTACATTATATCACATTTTGAACTCATTATCAGCTTCAGCCTCTAAATATAACAGCCTTATCAAATGCTTGAGCTGAGAATACACTTGTAAATCCTTATTAAGGTATTTCTATAATTTTTAACAAAAGTATACTTGGCAAAAACACACATTCCATTCATATAACCTTCTAAAATCTATACCCGTTAAGTTGGACTAATGTATTTCAAAGAAAGGTCTCTAGAGATGGCCCAAATTTTCCACAAGAACACAGCATTTACAATGTTTTTTACGATTTCTATTCTCATTTACAACTTTAAGTTTTACAAATAACCTCAATCAAATGCAGATCCGGCATTGTAACAAAAGAGGGGAGGGGGGGGGGGTTAAAATAGAAATCAATACAACGCTTAGCAATGTAGAAAAAACTTTTTAAAATTCTCTAAAACGTGAAAGTAATGTTATAAATTCTTTTCTTTTCTCCATTAACCCAAGTATATCTCCCTTTTAGCCAAAAGAGATTCAGGTAACTACATTACACAAGATCTCAAAGATTTCAAAAAGTCAACCTATGGTTATATCAGTAGCCCGGCCATTACCTGTTGAAACGTACATACATTACAATGATGCATCAAGTAATCTGAACATGATTTCAACGGAATATACGCTAGCTAGGGTACTGAAACTTCCCAACGAGTTTCATTTTTTAAAATTGTTAGCAAGAACAATATTACTTGAACGGACGTTTGCACTTGTCAATCAACATTTTGCTAAAGAGCACACAGTATGTACTAATGGAATGCATTCGTAATGGTTTTATCACCTAAATGTTAAACAATCAAAGGCACAGAAATGGTTTTACATACAAAAAACTAGATTTGATGTTCCTGTTGAACATTCTCTGCAAGGAAGTTTTGTGTCATGTACACCAATAATAACTTCCTATAATATAACTGTTACCTAAATACCATGCACAAGTGCTACTACTTGGTCCTTAACATTCCATCTTTGGCACAAAGAGATTTATGAATCGATTACCGGTAATGAAATAAACAAATATCAACAGATATTATTCCATTTAGTACACCTCATCTACTCAATATGTGTCATGTATACCAATAATAACTTCTTATAATATAACTGTTACCTAAAAAACCATGCATAAATGCTACTACTTGGTCCTTAACATTTCATCTTTGGCATATAGAGAGTTATGAAACAATTACTGGTAATGAAATAAACAAATATCAACAGATATTATTCCATTTAGTACACCTCATCTACTCAATATGTGTCATGTATACCAATAATAACTTCTTATGATATAACTGTTACCTAAATACCATGCATAAATGCTACTACTTGGTCCTTAACATTTAATCTTTGGCACATAGAGAGTTATGAACAATAGCCGGTAATGAAATAAACAAATATCAACAGATATTATTCCATATAGTACACCTCATCTACTCAATGTGACAGGTAAATACAGTTCAACACACATTCAGTTTTAAAACATATCAAATAATGGATGGAGATAATAAGTGAAGGCCACGTATCTGTACTTTCAAATAGAATGTACCAATTTTAAGTTATAGTTACTAATAATCATAATTATAATATGCCGTTCTTGTGTAGCGCATTTCACATTATGATATAACGTCTCCACAGGCTTCCACAGAGCTTTGAATATTATTTATTACGCCGGCTTCATCTCTGGCAACTGTAGCGCTCAGTGCAGTCAAGGAATATATCCCACCAGGTACCCACTTACTACACCTGGGTCGAGTGTGGCAAATGCACATTAAAGTCTTCCCAAAGGACAATATTGCCGCGGCTGGATTTGAATCCTGTATCTTGTGGCTCATCGTCCGGAGACTCATCCACTAGACCACAACACCTCCACACTGATCTGCTCATTCTAGGCACATACACATGTACAATATACTTCAGCGTTTTGTGTAATGATATTTCTGATCAACGCAAGGTCAGGCAGAACTTCTAAGCATTACAATGACATACCATTTGACCAGAGGTACTGTATGATTGCAGCAGACATTACTTGTTATGATGCTTTAGATACAAGTCATGTAAAAAATATAAATGCATGATTTCTCCCCCCCTTTCTTTCCTCTGCTAAATTTCAAATTGACAATACAACCCATAAAGAAAGACAGTTGTAGGTATGTTCATCCAACAAAAACATTTACTCATGAACCCAATTGGTCGTACCTTAGTCATTCTTTCTCAACCATGAAGTCCCTCGTACAGGAATTATTGCCATAGGTCCATTGGATAAACATCATTTTACAATACCCCAAGTATATTAACCTTCTTTCTTAGTAGTCGTTTGAAATAAAGTCATCACCAGCGATAAAGCCTTGTTCAGAAGTGTTGCAGTAAATCACAGCAAAGCGTTATATGCTTCCCATTTCTGTATATCATAATACGGGGCTAAGTGAATACACGTAGGTCATTTGTTGCATTCAGATGTCACTCATTTACACATTTCTTTATAAAAGGGGGTGTAGCATGGCAAATACTGGTTAACGCAATCTACGACTTCTTTTGGACAACTGTACGTAAACGAATGGACTTGATTAATGGTCAGAGAGCGCTAGCATTCGCGAAACAGACCGAAGTTCTGCTCAAGCTTCAGTTTTGCGTATGTTGCACGCACATGAATACTGCGGTCACGTCGTTCATAGTCGTGTTATACCCAATTGGCCCCAGGAAACAGATGTAGTCTTGTCATGCTACACCCCCTTTGAAGTGAGAGTTTTGTTATCGTGTTGGTTTACCGTGTCATATCTGAATGAGCCTTGAGCGTGCCATACCCTCTCAGCTTTTACAGCTTCAAGATGAAAAGAACATACCCGTGACATAAAAATACAACTCAAAATGTGTTATAATATGAAATCAAACAATTAAAAAATATATAATCCGTTTCCTACAATACACAGTATATATCCAAAATCCATGGCAAGAAATGTACTGCACTCAAGCGATACTAACTATATTTTTCCTCTTTGAATTGGGTTTCCAACAATTTGGAACTTTACTTGACCCTCTAATATCCTTTAAGTGACAGATACAATGTACATACTCCACTAATTTCAATCTTTGGAACAAATAGAATATTTTATATCTCTGATTATTAGAAGCTCAAAAGGACTGTTCTGTGAGCACAAATATGGAGCCCTCAAAAAGTGTTGAAGCACCAAGTGATACTGTGCCCATGAACATATGTTATTATTTTTCTTTTAAAAACATTTATTTGATTTAAAGAAATGAAATTGCATGAGATAAAGGTTAACAAAAAAGCTGTGTACAATACATACAAAATGAAGATGCGGAAGCTTTGAAAAAGTAAAATAACTTTATAAAAATTAAATACTTAAACAACTTTTTTTTAAATTCCAGTTTATGCTTCTCACTGATCCCTGCAACAAAGATTGCACACACTGAAATATATGTTCATACTTTTTATTTTCCCTACCTCTTTGGTTATTGTGTTTCTATCATCTTCCTTTATTAACTGCCATTTGATCAACATCATTTCCACATTCTCCTTCCTTTTCTTGCTCAACCTTTTGCCCTCTTTTGTAAACAAATGAACAACAAGTGGAGTGCCATACTCTACTTTTGGCACACACATGTATGAAACCTGATACTCCACACAATGTGGCACTCCTCAGTGATTTCAAGTGAAATCAAGATTTAACGCACTGTTGATCACTTGTCCAGTACAATTTATCTTTCTTAGTGCTTTTCCACCAATTAACATTTTTTTACTCATCAATTTGTTGTTTTCTCAGTCATATCCTTAACAAACTTATCCACATATGCACCATTTTTTGACATTTCCCTTTACTCTTTTCCGAACCTTTCATATTTCTTCCAAAATCGTCAATATTGTAAAGCTAGATCTGTCTGTCTCAGTCTCTGTCTGTCTCTCCCCCACTCTCTCTCCATTCCTCCTTTCCTCCTTCCGCTTATCTTTCTACCTCCCCTTTTCTTTCTTCCTATTTCCTTCTCCTCTCCAACATTCAGACATCTCCTTTTCAATATCTTTTATCTTTATATATTAAAGGAAAATACCTACACATGAGCTTATTATAAAGGTTGGATGGCCCTTTAATCTTTGATGCCTGCATTCTTTATATCCAGTATTCTTTCCCTTTACCTCTTCATCCTTCTTTCTCTAACCTTCCTATTTTCCTCCTTTCTCTCTTCTCCCTCCTCTCTATATCTTACCACCACTCATCTCTCTCCCCGCCCCTCCTCCCTCCTCCTCCACTCCTACCTCCAAAGCCAAACCCGCCACCACCACCACCACCACTACTGAACCCAAAGCCTCCCCCTCCGGAGTCCCTGTCACGCCCTCCTCTGAAGCCTCCTTCTCCTCCTCCTCTTCCTCGTCCTCCTCCTCTTCCTCCTCCTCTCCTGTCGCCATCTGCCATCCTAGCTTGATGTCTCTTCCACCTCTCTGCCATCTCAATCAGCTCATACGGTACTTCCTGCAAAGAAAAAAAAAGGCGCTCATTCTTTACTTCACTTCAAAAATTACATATATAAAACAGTCTCTGTGCTATAATGTGTTTGCTATATCTGTACTACTTCTGACATTATAGTTATGCTCTGTATTGACATTGTATTTTCTCTTGTTTTTTTGTACTGTTAAATCTTAATGCTGTTGTTGTTGTTGAATAAACAGACAGACATGTACACTCAAATCAAACAGAAAATAATACTTCAAATTACATGCTGCATCTGAGATAGTGCTGGTATTATGATTGGGTAAGGTTTCCATAAAATGATATTTTAGATATATGCAAACAAAACCATAATAATTCATACATAAAGGCAATCAAAGCCTAACCAGGGTCTGAGACAAAATGGTAGAGATTAAGGCGTCTGTTGTTTATAATTGATTGAATGATGTCTAATCTGTACCTGGCCTGCTTCTTCCATGATCTTAATGATGTCACCAGCCCAACGCCAATCCTTCTTGGTCATCAAGGTGAGAGATGTACCGGTACGCCTGGAAGGAAACGTACAACATAAAGATATCACACACAGTTCTACATGTCTACATGCACAGAGGTCATTACGATTAGACCAGTCTGAGGGGTGGGGGGGGGGGGGGGGGGGGGGGGGGGGGGGGGGGGAGGGAATACAACAAAGATATCTGTCACAAATTTTGGACATGCTGCTTCCTCTCTTGCCTACAGGTTTCATTCTTGTGTGCAAACACTGCAAATCCAAGGAATTTGATCCCTTATGTTACTTACTATATCTTAAAGATATTAGTATACTCGGTGATCACATATATCAAATCACCAATCCTAGAGCTTGGATTTGATTAATTATAAAGAATAATGATATTGTATTATTTCATTATGATCCTTATTCTATGGCACCCGGGGGATGTTTCATAAAGCTGTGCGTAAAGTTACGTATGATTTTGCGAATGACTTGAATATGAAGAGCTAAATGGTATTCTCAAATCCATTTAATTGCATAATAATTATGCAGATGTAGATTAACCTTATCATTATTAACAAAATATTTTAATGCAAAGCGTATTTTTGGCTACGATTTAATTGAGATTGTGGGAAATACAGTCACAATTTGTTAAAATGTCAGGCAAAGCTTTGGGCTTCCCATTCGGCCCTATATATTCATGTGTAAAGTCATTCAATGGATAATAATAATAATGCTGTCCAGGTGAAAAGGCGAAACCTTTTTACTTACCCTGCTCTTCCAGTCCTACCCACTCTGTGGACGTACTCCTCTATATGATTAGGACAGTCAAAGTTAAAGACGTGGGTGATATCCTTGATATCCAATCCTCTAGAGGCTACATCAGTTGCAATCAAGATACGAACAGAACCTAAAAAAGAAATAAAAACAAAACATGACAGGATAACATGAATATGGAGGTGAATTGGCCCAGTGAGGAAGCCAGTTGGCTCAGTCAGTGAATCGTCTGCATGTCAAACCAAAGATTACGGGTTCAAATCCAACCCAAGTGGATGACTGAAGCATGCGCTGTGTGTTAACGTGCCTCTCCCGTTTCATAGACGCAGACTTTGTCACAGTGGAAAACACTGTCCCTCTGCACATCGCCAACCAGTTAAAATGGGGGCGTGACCTAACGATTACAGTGACCACCTCCTCCTCCTCCTCCTCCTCCTCCTCCTCCTCCTCCTCCTCCTCCTCCTCCTCCTCCTCCTCCTCCTCCTCCTCCTCCTCCTCCTCCTCCTCCTCCTCCTCCTCCTCCTCCTCCTCCTCCTCCTCCTCCTCCTCCTCCTCCTCCTCCTCCTCCTCCTCCTCCTCCTCCTCCTCCTCCTCCTCCTCCTCCTCCTCCTCCTCCTCCTCCTCCTCCTCCTCCTCCTCCTCCTCCTCCTCCTCCTCCTCCTCCTCCTCCTCCTCCTCCTCCTCCTCCTCCTCCTCCTCCTCCTCCTCCTCCTCCTCCACCTCCACCACCACCACCTCCACCACCTCCACCACCACCCACCACCACCACCACCACCACCACCACCACCACCTCCACCACCTCCACCACCACCACCACCACCTCCACCACCACCATATTGTTTTCTATGTAACTTACCATCTTTGAAATCTTCCAGCGCTCGTTCTCTGTCGTACTGTTCTCTCCCTCCATGAATGCTCTGTACTGACAGGTTCCTCATGCTCATGTCACATGACAGGTCATCCGCCCTGCAAAAGGTCAAAGGTCATCAAGTTTAAGCTTCTTTTTTTTTTCTCTCTTAATAAACTAACCAATTAATCTAGTTCAAATCAAAATTGCTTACTAGTACATGGAGTCAAATTTTGACTCCAAAAATTTGCATTCCACTGAATGCAGCTTATAATCAAATGCAACTGACGATCTAATGCATGTTACAATTCAACTTGTAGCACAGCCTATCAAACACTGAGTTGACAGTTTAATGAATGTATTTCCATACTATTCCTTTCACTTGTTAACAACAAAAAGTTCATAATACAATACATAATAAGTTCAATTTGTTTTCTTTTTTTTCCTGCTGCTCTCAATTTCTGTCGGTGATAAAAAGTGAGAAGACAATGTACAATTTTCCTTGAATGAATTCCTAATGAGTATATTTTATGTCACCGCCTGAGCTTTAAACACTATCAACTCATCCAGGGATAGTTGTACTCACATGACTTTCCTTCCAACAAAGACTAGTACTTTCTCATCTTCTGTCATCGTCTCAAAGAACGCAATGAGCTGGAAGAAAAACAGGATGAAAACAACATCTATGAAACATTACATGGCCTCGAGGGGTAACCAAATGTGCATGGACAGTTAAAAACTGAATTATTCATATCCATTGTAAATTTGATGATCTCGTGCTTTTCGTAACTCAAGAATGAAAGGTGGATAGGTTGAATTAGGGCCTTTGGTGAATAATTTTAGATGTAAGCTTTGATCTGTCACATTTTCAAGAAATGTAAATCAGGATAAATCAAATTTTAACATACTTGAGAAATTTAGCAAAATTAATAAGGGTATAAATAATTTAGTTGTTAACTGTATATCAGCTGAACTAACTGAAATTCTTTTACAATCCATACTGCATTCCTTTAAAGTGCGGGTTCATAGAAAATCACAAATATGGCAAATAGCATATTACTAGAAACTGGTAAGCTAACAGATGGCCATCATGCAAGTTTTAGGTCAACTACATATCAGTGATTTATAAAAATACAAATAAAACAACCTCCGTAGCATCTGGGATATGCGAGAGATTCGCCGGGAAAATAACGATGTTTTAATGCCGTCACAATATGAACCAACCCTGCCCAAGCAGACGACATCCCATAGAGAATGAACACAATTGTAATGCTTTTATTTCTCAAATTATAATGAGTTTAGTGTATATAAATGTGATGGAATTTTATACCATTCAAAAAGGGATATGACCCCAATTGTGATAACTAAATTCTTTTGTTTGTAAATACACAGGATATGGGTTAATGAACAATCAAAGAAACCACACTTTCAAATTAAAAAACCTCCGGAATGATAGCATGGACGTCATTTGTTCCCTCTTGAAATGCCGAACATGCCGCGGTGTATGCAGCTGAAAATACAATGGCGTCTTATTTTGTTTACAAGCGACGGATTCCTTTTTTCCTGCATTTTTCATCAAAATAATACCATGCATCGGGTTTAGAGTGAGGCAATAGATTAAAAATTTCGCCTGAGGTCATTGAAGTAAGAGAAATGACTGAAGAAAAGATGACAAAACGGGCACTGAAATTGTGTGAGATGTCATGGGACACCGTCTGCTTGTGCACATCATGTTCAACATGTGACGTCATATCTTAGCAGCGACGGGGGAGCTTTGCAGGTGCTATGTCGGGGCTGTATCTAAGTGTTTTGTAATTGTTAATAATCATTATTTCTAATGTTTCCAAGCCTTGGATTTTGATAACCTTGGCCAATCAAAGTGTCACCTTTGCAATAATGACATTAAAGTTAGTATTTTAAATCAATGAACCTTCTCTTTAATGAAATGGTTACAAACAACATAATAACTATGGCTTGTTCAGATTTGCAATGCTTAAAGCACAGCAGATTACCATGGGGAATTTTTATGTGCATTGCGTTTGCATTTTGTTTATTTTTCACACACATTAAGTGAGTATGCATATTACAGTTGTTGAGCGCAGCTACTTTTTGCACTCCACCTGCAATTCATTTATAAAACAAAAAAAAACACGCACACACACACAAGAAAAGCCCTGCCATGGTGAACTGAGGCTGTTTACCACAACATATATCCAAATATGTATCTTGTTTGTGATTGGTCAATAAAAGGATACTAAGAAAAGGAAAATGGGAAAATTTGTGGATTACTGAGTTAGATTCAAAATTTTAAATATCACCCTTTATTAAATACATACATGTAGGAGTAAAAACTTTTTGATACATACCCTGTCTCTCTTTTCCTCTTCATCTACGATTTCAACGAGTTGAGTTACATTGTGGCAAGCCTAAAATAAAACAAAAAATAAAATTGTAATCATTGTATAAAAGCCTATTTTGACACTGAATGAAACCAAGATGCGAAACAAATATCAAAAATGAAGAAAAAATACAAAACAAAAACAGTAAACTTTGACCTATGGCCATGTACATAATATTGATCGTTCTTAATACAGAGATTATGCTTGTAATTGTTGTTAACTACTTAATTAATTTGCTCATGCAACGACAAATAAATCAAGCCAAGATAAAAGATGTTTTAAAATATATTGCCCGCTACAGTATATCCTGCACAGAACACAGCTTCCTCATTATCATAAGAATTCTTTGTACTATCTAAAGCAAAAAGTATTCTCTAAATCTTCCTTCTATCAATTCCATTCTCTCTCTCCCTCTCTTTCCCTATAGTTCTCCTGCCTCTCTTTCTCTTGCTTCTCTCTCTCTCTCTCTCTCTCTCTCTCTTTTGCTCACTCTCTCTTGCCATTTTGCTCTCTCTCCTACCCCTTTCTTTATTTGTCTCTCTCTTACTGTACTCCACTCCACATAAAATGGACTAAGAAGTGCTTCAAGACTTACGGACAGATCCAATGATCCTACATTGACATGGATCGGGTTCTTCATGTAGTTCTTAGCCAGACGCCTCACTCCCTCTGGCCATGTAGCACTGTAAGATAAGAATAAACCATGTTAGTACAGAGAAACCTGCGTCAGCGACCACCCGTCTATAGAAACCATGGACTTTGTTTCGCTTTGTCAGTGTATCTCAAAGAAAGGTTTCACTCTATGAGGTGATTATGGTCATCAATTTTTTTCTATTAATCTGGAAAAGAGGCGCAACACCATGCTTCTTGCATTGTATACAGAGTTGAGTGGTTGCAAATGTAATTAACTACTGACGTCCACATTCTGACATTTCTTTTCTACATGTGCACATTGTATATGTCTTAATAAAAGTGATGACAAATCTGCCAATACTATTGCGAAAAAAGATATTTCATGGATGACAGGGATAACAATATTGTCAACAGATTTCGTGTTTTGTGATAATTAAAAGGGAATCGCTAGCTCCTTTTCATGTGGTGCCCAATTTCTGACCCAACAATACATTTTTTTTAATTACAAGATTGAAGGAAATAAAACCCTCCAAATTGTTTGCATTTCCATTGAAATCTCAGACAGTAGTCAAGTTTTTAAAAGCTAACACTGACCTTGTCATGATGGTTTGTCTGTCAGGTCTCACGTCCAGTAGAATCTTCATGATCTGAGGTTCAAAGCCCATGTCAAGCATCCGATCAGCTTCGTCTAGCACCTACAGAGAGCGTTTGGAAGATAACATAAACAACTTTACATAAACACTTCAAATGTAGAATGTAAGTACAGTCAAACCTGTCTATAGCGACCATCCAAGCAAAACATGAAAAGTGGCCTTTGTATAGACAGGCTCCTTTAGTACATGATTCAATGATAGACCATTTTCAAGGGAAACAACAAATGTGGCCTTTGTAGACAGGTGGTCACGAAAGCAGGTTTTAACTGTATATGCAAAGCACAAAATATATGTCTGTGTACGATTTTGGCTTATTTAGACTTTAGTTTCTACACTTCTTTACAGCTTTGAATTTTTGACTATTTTGGAATAGAGTAAAAAGAAAAGTTAATTAGAGAAAAACAATATACAACAAGCTCAATATTGACCATATCATCTGATTATTATTCCTTCCTTTATTTTTTTAATTTCTGTACTATCCCAATAAAAATCATTTCAAGCATTTTGAAAGTGCAAATAAATCCAGACTTCCAATCAGGATCATACTTGACTTCTTTTTTTTCTTTTTTTTTCGGGGGGGGGGGGGGGGGGGTTAAACTTCCAAACCCCTTGACAACAACCCAGAAAAATAACATTGACCTGAACAAAATACTGAGACAACACAAAATAGGACATTAACCCCATGTGCACGTAACCCTTATCCACTGGTATGGGGTAGCCACTGGATAGTTGAACAAATAAATTGCACTAGCTATGCAAAGCCTTTAGTTTACTTACCAAAAATGTAACTGACATGACATTCACAATCTTGTTCATGATGAGATCATTGAGCCTGCCTGGTGTAGCTACAATACAAACAATAAAATAAAAGTATAGAATAGATTTTTTTGTGGTATACTTTCTTTGTCAACTTCATTCCTTAGAAGAAGAAAAAAATTGAATAAACTTCAAATTCAACATGCATTCATTAACAACAGAAAATTTTATTCAGTCGATTAGAAACAACTTGGTTTTGAATCAGGGACCTGCCGGTTACAAGACCACTGCTCTACCACTTAGCCATCGCGCAATGTGAGGCGTGTACACAGAGACACTACATGTATATCAAACATGATCATTTGTAAACTGAAACATAAATGTATACCCTGAAACCTTCCCGTGATCTATCACCATTGTGACTCTAAAACTAACGATTCTACTAAATATCCCATTTAAAATCTATTATATACATGTACATGTAGTTTAATACCTAACATTTAGAAATTAAACATGATTGCAATTGAAAATGGCAAATGGTTCAAAGTCACAAAGGGAATATATATGAGGCTCCATCAAATAACTGACCAATCAGAAACAACTTCCAGTGACACAACTATCTTTGGAAACTAGCTATGGTTCTTAGGGGAGCCTTCCAAAGTTGCGACTGTGCCGCGACGCGTCGGGGCGCAGAGCAGGATATGAGAACAAAGGAGGCGCCTTTATGCGCCCATTAGCGCCTTTTTGCGTCGGATAGGAGAGGACTTCAGTTAGTTGCCAGCTCATTAAAATCTGGCTATTGTTTGGAGTCTCATTGTTACGAAATTACCCCGCCAGGGCGCGCCCCGGTGAAGCACTCGACATTTGTGAATGGGAGCTTAAACTTTGAATAGCTTTCGCGCCCTTTCGCGCCCGGTCCGGCGCATTAGTTATTCATGTAGTGCCCGCTTGTGTGTCGCTCTCGTCTTGCGAGATTTGACTCTGAAAAGCATTACTTTGGCTACTGATTTGTTTTAATATTATTTTACGTACATGACATTGGTTACAATGTTTGTTTATTTTCCTCTCAAAATCGGAGTTCTGTAGGCGTTAACGTTGGCATGATTGTTCATTTTTTCATCTCCTCCTGTTCTGTTCATGATTGTGTTCAATATACTGTATCAATTTTAATACAAATTGATTTGTTCAAAAAAACAAATTTATTTTATACTTACCCCACTCTCTCTGACATTGTTTTCCTCGTGCATGTTTTGACACTTAAATTGTAATTTTATATTTCCTTATAGCGATGTTATCGCATGTTTCGATTTTCTTGTTTTTTTTTTAAACAATTTTTGTTGCATCTTGTAAACAGTTCTGTCGTATGATCATTATAAATCATATAATTATATCATCAGTCTGTTATTTCAATACATAGATCCTTTGAATCTTCTTAAAATTAGAGAACGTATTTTAAAATCCGTGATGTTGAAAATGATACTTAATCAAGAATGTCATAGTTTCTCCTTGAATTGGATTTAAAAAGCGTTTTATCTGTATTACGATTTTTTAAGCAAATGATATCCGTATTGTCGGGAACATCATCAATATGTTTCGTTAGAAGGAAGACGCTCATTTTCAGAATGTTCTTTCTTTGCAAAACACTAATGTTACGAACAAAATTAAATACACTGTACCCGTATCATCGGGGATATCGCAAAACTCCCAGGGAGATTATCAATTGCAAATCAACATAGTAAATTATGCCTAAATCGTAAGAATAGAGCATGCATTAAAAAAGAAGAGAGTTACCAGGAAATGATGTTTGAATTTTCACCCCAAACATATCTCAAGAAGAAATTAGTTTATCATTCTGTGTCAAAGAATTGTATCGAATATTTCTTTGCGACGAAGGGGGGGGGGGGGTTACATCCGCGGCCAGTTTTAGATCTAGGTCATTGTTAAGAATAACTAAAATGCGTATATATTGTGCTGAATAGGGGCCACATGTTATCGAAAGAGCGTAGTACGTTCTAGAACAAATACAAGCCATGGCAATTCGTTGAATTGCTTCTCGTAACAGAACTGTCTCACTGTCTAAATAAGGATCCATCCGGGGGATCCATCATGCACGTGTTGGTAAACGGAATTAATAATGATTGGGTTGTTTTGGGACATTTTTTTTTCGGGGGGGGGGGGGGCAGGGTAGCCCTTATTCTTCTTCTACTGGGTCATCAAGAAACACAAATAGTGTTGAAATTTTCCGCAATCCCTTTAGCGCCGAGGGTAGAAAAGCCTTTAGAAAAGTCAGCTGGACAATAGCAATTTAATGTTGGTCAAACAATCAGCGAGAAGTACTGGGCAAACAGATATTAGCCCACGTCTTCAATATAACCAGGGAATCCTGATATAACTAAGCGCATGCTCACAATATGAATATCAAATCTGGCTATTGTTTGGAGACTCATTGTTATACTATCTGGTAAAGGGGTACTTTTCACGCACCAAAGTCCGGCTCGTCTAGTACACACAAATCCGGCCCGTATTGACTTTACACACCGGACTTAGGGGACTGTTTTCAAAAGGAGGGAAAATGCATATGCGTACCCTACATAACACTCATTCGGGGGTGGGGGGGGGGGGGGGGGGGGGGGGGGGGGGGGAGGGGTGCGCTTAAGGCGAAGCGCTTTTTGTGAATTGTGAATTTGTGAATTTGAAAAGCTTTCGCGCCCGTTCCTACGCATTAGTTATTCATGTAATCCCCGCGTGTGTGTCCGCTCTCGTCTTGAAAGATTTGACTCTAAAATTTTCACTTTGGCTACTGATATGTTTTATTATTATTTTACGTACAAGACATTGATTTAGATTGTTGTTCTGATTGTTATTTTCCTCCCAAACATCGAAGTTGTGTAGGCGTTGACGTTGTTATGATTGTTCATTTCTGTTCATTAATGTGTTCAATACTTGTATTATATTAAGTTCTTCACGAACAAAACAAAAACGATATGTATAATTGTATTCCTTCTGTATGTTTTGACACATTATTTGTTTCATATTACATTTAATTTGTTCTGTCATCCGATCAAAATAGGTCATATATCTATATCATCACTCTGTTCTTTCTCATGCAAGATCGATTTAAAGAATAGAAACGTAGGTTCTCTAAATCTTCGCAAAATCAGCTATTGTATTTAAATACCCGTGATTTAAAAATGATACTTATAATCAAAGAGATTGAAAGATTCTGCTTGAAATAAGATTATAGGGCGTTTATAAATATGTCATACAAAACAAACAAACATCTGCAAATTAAAGATATTACAAAAATGATAGTCGTATTGTCGGGAGCCTGCATCATCAAAACGTTTCGGTAGATGGAACAATTCGAAATCGCCTATCTGTTCCAAACATGAAATTCGATCGAATATTTCTTCGCGAAGAAACTTTATTGGTGGTGTCATTTGTCTTAACAATTTGTTATCTTCAATGTTCGTGACGTTTTGACGTTTCATATTTGTTAGCTAGCGCTAGTAAAGTCTTTTGTTTTAACGTGCACTGTATATAGTTATAAGGCCTGAACACGTCATGTTCACATTGGGTGTTATATAGCATACGGATATTATAGTACATGTAACTTTTAAAAGCACTTTGTTTTTGCAACGCAATGACAAAAGACAGCTCTTTGAGCAGCTAATAGTTGTTGCGCCCATTGTTCCGCTCATAGGCGGCTATTCCCAATCACCGGGCATTATTTGTTATTGTATCATTAGTTAAGTTTATTAATCTATTCATGTTTTCTATTTATTTATTTAGTTTTGGGGAGGGGGGATGTCGTATTACGAATTCATGACCCTTATACATAATGACCATGTTCTCAAATTACGAATAGCGGTCTTCATGAATAGTTGTCCAATGAATAGCGGTCCTTATAACTAGCGAGCGGAGCCCTCGTGATTGACCTCTGCCATTTTGGTCCGGCCGTTCACTTCGCCGCCCCCTCCCTCACACACACACATAATACGCAACCTTAATGTGTAGCTAAACAAGAATCTATAGCAAGTCGGACAATTATAGCGATCAAACAATAGTCTTGCTCGGCCGCGTGAAATCCTGCCACGGCATTCTATGTTTTTACCTTTAGAGCGAACTTTTCTTTTGTATTCGCTCCATAGAACTCTACTTTATCTTACATCGAGGTGAAATGAAAAGAGCGTCATCATGAGTAGATCTATTGTTTGATGTTATCCTTCTTCTCCCTAGTTAAGCCAAACCTTCAATTTAGGCATATCCATAAAAGGTAGCTTCCTGTACCGTTCGCTTTTTTTTTTCCTGACTGCTATATGAAGCATGTGTACCCTCTGAATTACGCAAACAGGGGACCGGCGGGTTTAAGATCCTCTCCGAACGAAATGTAATGTTGAGTTATGCCTTACAATAGCATATCGACTTGGTTTCTAACCAGGGAGCTCCCGGTTACGAGCTGCTCTGCTCTACCACTGGGCTATAGCGCCTCCCTCCTTTTAAAAAGATCTTTTAAAATTTGCCGTTTTTTTTTTATTTTTTAGAATAAGAATCAAAACATGTTTGGTATGTTTTTTGTATCTGTGCATTAAGATTTCAAAATTTCACTTTCGCCACTTAATTATACAAATCTACGAATAAATGATTCGAATGTTAGAGCAGAAATCAATGTTTGTATTTGTGTCGAATGATTAAGTATCATCATGAACTGATTAATGTTTTGTATTGCATTTCCACTTGCTGCTCAACTTTATCACCATCAGGCTACGCTTTTTTGTTTACATCTTCATGACAAACATGTTTTATAATCTCGATATAGTTCCCGGACTCTTTTGTCTATTTATTCCACTTTTAAAAAGAGCTATGGAATTATTATGATTTAAAACGCCTTTTGGACGGGCAATTTTCGAAGGCAAATCTCGGGCGTGAAATCCTGCCACGGCATTTTATGTTTTTTTTTTTTCCCTGAGGCCACTTAACAAAATATTCATGTTTAGCGTCCCGGCTGCTTCTTTTGGGGGGCCGCCTCCTATTTTTTTATTTTGGGGGAAATTTGTTTTAATTTGTTTTGTTTTTTTAATTTTTTTTTTAAAATAATTTTTGAAAAAACAAACATGAAAAACAATACTAAAATGTATATATTACTGATTTTTTTTTTAAAGTTAAAAGATGTCGGCGGCCATCTTGAAAACTAGCCCGACTGTCAGGAAAATGTACCGAGCGGGCCATTTTGAGCGGCCATTTTGAAAGAAAAAAAAAGAAAGAGAGGGCCTCCTCCTTCCTAGTTTTCGAAAAAACAGGACACTAATAAAACATTTTTTTATTTGGCCTTAGAGCGAACTTTTCTTTTGTATTCGCTCCGTAAAACTCTTCTTTATCAAACAGCGAGGTGAAATGAAAAGAGCGTCATCTTGAGTAAATCGTTTGTTTGATGTTATCCTTCTTATCCCTAATAAGCAAACCTTCAATTTATTAGAACCAAGTCATGGGAGGAGAAAAAAAAGGATTTGACTGACAAAATATAAATTCTTCCAAGCTCAGGCTGTGGCGATGTGCAACGCGTAGCGTGAATATGAATGACGGGAGAGAAAGATAATTCCTTTGTCCATTATACGATGCTAGAATCATATCGCGATGTGGGAATTATACAAATATGTTGATAATCATTCAAATTACAAACATACACAAGCGACCCAAACAGTAATCAATTTGCCGACTATAACCGCATACATGTAGTCATTCACATCATTCGTCTTTTATTTTTTTGTTGTTGGGGACAATCAAGCTCGCAATTAAACAACCATTAATCGTACATAGTCATCTTTATTTCACATTTCATACAGTCGTCACAAAAATTAAAAGGAGGCGTATTAAACCCAACAAAAATAAATCATAATGTATTCTGATCAAGATGAACGAGTGTGTTGATTGCCCCCCAAAACAAAGACGATCCCACCAGAGAAGTTCATGCTGTGCTGTAGTAATGTACATCGCAAAGCTTCGCCACAATGATTGGAAAGGTAATACCCCGCCCGTTACGACGCAAAACGGCGCGAGAAGAATAGATCGCGACGCGAGAAGAATACATCAATTTTGTACAAACAATGGAAAGTTTATCAGAACGAAAACCGGAGGAGGGGAAGACAGGCTTTGGCCGAGAAATACTTTCTGTATATCAAGTTTAAGCTGTACCGCGCATCACGAGCGAGAACAATGACGGGAGAGATAATCTTCCATCGCCTGGTGGGGCGCAAAAGGGCGCAAGAAGAATAGAGCGGGTTTATACTAACAATAGACGGTTTCTTTTCATATGCAAGAATCAGGTGAGGGTGACTATTGCGCCCCTTCGCGCCCCTTTGCGCCTCAATGCGTCTCTTGGGATGCGACTGTTCTATTCATCGCGCCCCGACGCGTCCGGGCACAGTCGCAACTTTGGAAGGCTCCCCTTACCGATAATGATCTCCACTCCGTCAGACACTACCTTGATTTGTTTCCTCCTATCGCCACCTCCATAGACGCACACACTAGGTGAATATTGAGAGAGAAAGAAAGAAAGAACAAAATTAGTGTTGCAGGGCAACTGATAACAACTATGCATTTGTACATGGCACATAGTAAATGCCAATTCTAGTTCAATTCTTGGGGTGATATCAATAGTGTATATAAGTTTCAGACGCATTAAATACTGCAAAGAAAAGTAATTAAAACATGTACCCCAGCTGTCCCCGTGCCACTCAAAGTTTCTTACAACTTAATTGAACTTATATATTTGTTAGAACTATAAGCTAAGAAAGATAACCAACAGTCTTTTTCAGGACTACACATCCTCAAGAAAGATTACAGAGAGTCCTTTTCAGGACTCCTCAATCCTCTCTCTCTCTCTCTCTCTCTCACAAGGTGCTCCCGCAAGCCTACTGTATACAGGCCTTAAATTTCGTCATTTTTAGGGCAAGGCCAGTTTGGCCTTGAGTACCTCATATTTTTAAGGGCACCAAGGCCAAAATATTTTTACAAAAAGGGCATCGAGGCCAAAATATTTTACAAAAAGGGCATCGAGTATGAGGCCAAAAAAATTGATTCTATTTTTGTTAGATGTCATGTGTATTTTATGAAACTTGTGCGGGATCAATTTCCCATGACTTTTAGCACCAGCTTCTTCACAGAATGTATAGAGGTCTAGACTACGGTACATACAAACAAGGCGGCGGCCCGCAAGCCTTAGATTTAGCAGCCAGGAGCAAGGGGCAATTTTTTTTTTAAGTTGCCCTTTGCCACGGGAATTTACCAGAGCAAGGGGCAATTTTCCAAAAAGAGATAGGCCCCCTTATCTAATCATAAGTTCAAAGAGAGTCTACAAATGTTAATTTCATAATGTGAATAGATCGAACGATCAATTTAATAACTTTTTAATCTTAACAATATGAACAGGAAAGATTGATTAAGAACATCAAACTTGCACATTAAACAGTATTTTAAAGTAACTAAAAATATTGATGAGCAAATGAATAAATAAATTGTCAATTTCACAAACACGAAAGTCAGAAGGACTTGGCAAGTTTACCGGGCCGGGTATCCCAAATCAAAATCGCACCTCACACACAAACCTTCCGCCACTCTCTCGGTAGTAGGAGCAAATTTGAAGAAATTATCTTTTTAACTGTTGTATAGAAAGGTCTAGATAGGCCTAACTAATGAAATAAGATGTAAAAATGTCCTTATAGACATTCGACAGCTGAAAGTGACACGCTCAGCTCAGTTGCGTAACGTGCATTCACGAAACCAAAATCGTTCCTCGCACACACACTCTCGCCACTTTTGGTGGGAAGCTGTCGGGCTGGAAGTTTGCCAGCGAAACCGATGCACCCTCGGAGATTCGCAGCGCGTAATTTTACCGGGACTCGAAACGTTCGTCTTGGGAAGCTGGCGGGGTAGCTTTTTGAAGCGAGGTCGGCTGGTGGCAAAATGAGAGTAACTACGATCGAGAACATCGTAGGTGTTCTTAACTTATTAATAAGATAATTCTAAATTCTATTTGAGATAAAATAATAAACTAGACCTACAAACAAACCTCGACAGATCTCTAATGACTATTTGAATGCTTGTTTATTTCTCCATTTGACGATTTGTTTTCTTGATCCTGGCCTTCGATTTGTACGTACGTACGTACGTGCGTGCGTCAACAGCATGCACCATATGCATATCATGCGATCGCGTGATTGTACGTGCGCTAGCGCATTGCCTATATAATAACAAAGGGCGCATTTTCACGGCACTTGCGCCTTATTAAAGCACTAAATACGAAGCTAGAAGAGAGCTCGTGGGCGGCAGACTGTTCGTGATTCGTGTATTTTTACTGTTCTAATAATTTATGGGCGCATTTTCACGGAAAACACTTGCGCCTTGCCGTCTAGTTTTAGATGATTATGGGCGCAATTGGTGGTTTTATGTGCGCAAATTTAAAAAAAAAGGGCACGTCCAGTTGGAAAAAAAGGCACGTCGGCCAGTTTGAAAAAAAGGGCACGGCCTTTTTGGCCGTGAATTTATCTTTTTTTGGGAGGGCACCGCGGCCAGTCATAGGGGCATCGACGGCCTGGCCGTCGATGGCCGTCGATTAATTTAAGGCCTGTGTATATATATATTTTTGTCATTCTTATAAGCTGAAAATTGGGAATATTCCTTTACGTTGGGATTTAAATAAATATATTTTTAAAACTTTGTGATTAATTCAATATTTCCACATTTCATCTTGTCATTCATGTATATATTCCTAGGGTATATTTGTGTTAACCTACTCCTTTAATGCACTCTTAATTGTATTGTTCATGTGCTCTGTATTGCAATCTACATCTAATTATAGTTTACTTTTTGAATTTTCATATATCAGGGATGCTAGTTAGAATTAATCAGAGGGCCTGAAAATCACCTAGAATGAGCTATTTTGTACAAAAAAAGCCTGAACTATGGTATGAAAATAACTTGCCAGGGCCTGAATTCAGGCTATTCCCTGAAAATGGCATCCCTGATGGATACTCTCAGTGCCTTGATCGTTTCTGCGAAATGGATATGGCACTTTGTAAATAGTCATTATTATTTTCATTATTATCATTATGATACCCTAACAGGAATACTTGTTGACATTTTTCATGTCTTGTAGGAGCATTGGTTTCACAGTATGAAAGGTTAAATGTCAAAGGTCACAGTATGAAAGGTCAAGTGTCAAAGGTCACACTCACCTTTTGATACCCTTGTAGGAATACTTGTTGACCTCCGATTCTATCTGAAGAGCAAGCTCACGGGTTGGTGAGAGGACGAGAACGTTAGGTCCACCACGCGACTTACGAGCCCTGCAAAAATGAAACAAAGCAGTATTATATAAGTTTCCTCTTATCTCTTTTACTATTAAAGTGAGGGTTGAAGAATTGCCAGTGACTTTCCTCTTTCTTTTGACATATATTTGGAAAAGTCCCAACTCATTATAAGACGGCCCTGGTAGACGATAGGTATACCAGGGATAATAGTGAGCACTAAAAAAAAGGTTGCTTTTGTCCTCAACCACCCCCCCCCCCCCCCCCCCCCCCCCCCCCCCCCCCCCCCCCCGTGAGTAAAAAAAACAAAAACAAACAAAAGATTAAGTGGGAAAATGGCATCTAACAACATTCCCTCCTTTTTAGTAAGAAAATTGGGGGGGGGGGGAATAAGAAAAACAAAATCGGGAAACCAATTCAAATCTGGTAATTATCAGGCCTGACTTACCCTGGCTGTAGGTCTGTGTGTATAAGAGCCGGTAAGAGGAATGCTAGTGTCTTTCCGCTCCCAGTCTGTGCTATACCTATCAGGTCGTGACCTTTGAGAGCTACAGGCCAACCTTGACTCTAAAAACAAAAGAAAATGATGTAACAATGAGCAAAAATCTCTCTCTCTCTAAGTGCCATATCGATTGACTTTGGCGATCATGCTGTTCCACAACCCTCGGCTCCTAGCCTACTCTATTAGCACCACTCCCAATTCTTTCACTCCTCTCTCTTCCAACAATTTCTAATCTGTCCATCCAAAGTATCCTCCTTCCCCTACTCCTTCTTCCCACAATTTTCCCTCTCACAGCAAGACGAGCAAAACACCCACACAAAAACACTCACAAGAAGATAACAATGATAATATTTGCAATTATAGAGCCATTTTTTTACTGAGGATACAAAGCAATTATCATAATAACATAAAGAGGTGTCATGGTCCCTAATGTCCTTTGTAAAAATTAATCTATATTTGCCACTCTCCACCAGGGTGTAGTAAATGGGGGTCGAGAGTGTAGAAGAGTGAATGTGTAGATGTTTCTTTGACCTGACAATCTATAGTTGACACTCTCCGCACAGGTGTGCTGAATGCTTTCCTGGGAAGAGGGATCTCTATGGAAGAGGACTTTCCTTGAATCGTGTGAGCACAGAATTGTTAGCCTGCAGATAGCAACTGAGCACAATGCACAGTAGATACAAGTACTGTATGAGAAGCCAACATAACGACTAATATCATTTCACGCCCGCCTGCCTAGTATGTTTGATGGGATATTATTTATAGAGTAGAATGCACACTCCATATGTAGCTACATGCATAACAAGATTTGGACAACCTTTCATCAAATCATCTGTGAACCAGTCTATTGCATGTTATTACACACCACAAGCTAGATATCAAAGACAGGAATATCTTACCTGTATAGGCGATGGTTTGGTGAATTTTTGCTTGTATATCTCTCGAAGGATTTCAGCTGCAGAGAAAATTATTGAAACAAAATTACATGTACATGTGATATACAACACCTTACTGTAGATAAAGAAACACAATTCATTGATTGTACACACCCTTTGACAAAATAATAGCAATGCCTAAACTGAAAATGTTGTAAAAGAAATCTCTCTGTGACTACATGTAGTTGAATCAATGGGGATTGATGGTTGTGACAACCCCCCCCCCCCCCCCTCCAACTAAACTATTTCTGCCAGAATTTATTTTTTACAGTATTATCTCCTGTAGGCAATCTCAAAGACATGACTTTTTTCGCTTATTTTACTTAATTGGACAACAAAATGGCAGCAAATTTGGGATCTGACATGCATCTTTTTCCTCAATAGTAAAGTTTGAAATTTTGACTATCCCTTGTCAGAAAATTTGGTCTGACATACCCGATTCAGAATAGTCTATCAATGCCCCTGAAGGAGCTGCCCTACTAAAAAAAAAGACTAATAAATATAAATAAATAAATCCTTTCAGTGATTATCACATCACTTTCCAATAACCCAATAGCACCAGTATTTCCCATCTATGCTAACATCAATTGTCATAAGAGAGTGGTCATCTTGGATTAATGTTTACAATAGACTACTTTTACCATCAAAGAAACCATGAAGGATTATTAAAAAGACAGCTAGTAGATATCTCTGTGTTTAAATTCTGTGGATAAGCACCCCTGACATGATCCAAGGTATTTAGGCCTTATCTAATTGTTTTTAAGATGTTCATGCGTGGGTATATAGTCGTTTGTGAAGAAGGCAACTTGGCAATCACTCCCAATCACTACATAACACTGAGCCAAGGGTATTACGCTCTTGTGTGTACATTTGTGCGCTACCCTCTACATGTATATACCCACGCATTTTATAAGCAACTTTAACTCACGGTAATCTTCAAATGCCTCTTCAAATGTTCTGACTGGTTTTGGAATGATACGATTCAGCTCCTTGGCGCTGTCATCTACAGCTGACACACCGATCACCTCCCTGTGATATAAACCATATGAGAACAAGGCGCAGACATTAGACGAAGTTCTCTCCTTATATATATATATATACACAATTTTAAAGTTTACTGTCATTTTTCAAATTTTACAATGATTATTCTAACTAAAGTATTTAACAAAGGCCCTTTATTCAACCAATCGACCTTTCATTCTTGAGTTACAAAACACACTAAAAAAAAAAACTTAAAAGGGGTATGAATAATTTAGATGTTAACTGTGTGTTGATATTATTTTATTCAGATACATGTAGATCATTTCAAAACACATGCTCTGAAGCTGTACCCTCTCCTGCATGGAAAAGATTTCCATTGCTTTAGCTTTACCAAGTCTGAGGCAAGTAAGTTGGGGCTTTGATCGGATCGGAAGATCAGAGTGACACCCTCGCACCTTTGATCAATAACAGCCTTTTGTAATGCCAAAATTTTTCAAGTTTTGGGCTATCAAATGCTAAAAAACATGCATAGCTTGGATTATTTTGGCATTTGGAGTTGTTGTAGACCCTTTTTGTTGATATTTAGTGCCTTTTCATGACTTTGAAATTAATAATATGTTACCTGAGAGCATCTGTTTCCTCTTCTGATAAGGCCTTGATAGAGCTGTGCTCATGGTAGAAATCCTTGATGACTTCAGGGTAATCTGCCAATTGAAAATTACAACAATGATTGAGAAGGTTAAAAGATACTGGATTTCAATTACAAAAACTTGTAGGTGTTGAATGTGTATAAATCTTTAAATGCAAGTTTAGTCAAACCTGTCTAAGCAACCACCCAAGGGAAACACAAGAGTGGTCTTTGTAGACAGGCTCCTTTCATACATGTTTCAATGAGAAACCATTTTCAAGGAATCAAAACATGTGGTCTTTGTAGACAGGTGGTCACTAAAGCAGGTGTGACTGTATTTGGCATCACCTGTGCCTAATAAGAGAGGAGCAAACTTACATGCGGTCCCTGTACCCCTCATATCTCCCCTCCTATAATTATTAATTAACTATTTGAATTCTGTACATTACACATGTCATGTATACTATATTGTGCAATAAAAGTTGGATAGCGAGATTCCATCTGGTGGGCACTTGTTCTTGCCATACAAGAGAGCACATTCTTATCAGCAATACCATTTACAAAAAGAATATGCCATGTCTTCAGATGTATGCATCAAGTATGAATACATTGGTGAACAAATGAAGCACCATACCTTTCCATTTTTGTGCTAGATATATATCCTGCTCTGCCTGTAGATTCTTCCAGTCGATTGGCCCCCTCCTGGTAGAGAAATGAATAAAATAATAATAACAATACATTTACAGAGCGCAGAAACTATCTAACATTAAGTATATATTCTACTGCGCTACAAGAGCTCCTTATTTGCTTAGATTCACAGTTAATTGAAAAGATGTGCTTTCAGTTTTTATTTAAAGATAGTCACAGATGGTGATTTTCTGACTTAAAATGGTAAGTTATTCCAGAGTTTTGGGGCTGCACAAGCAAATGCAATACAATCACCTGTGAAATTATGGATTCTCTTTGGTGATGAGCATAGTTCGGAGGGGGGCAGCCCTGAAGAAAAGAGTGTCATTGACGACAAGTTTTATGAAACGGGCCCTAAACAAGCTACAGCTTTACACCATGGAATGTAAAGTGTATTCATTGATATCCTCACAACAAAGTACATCTACTTACGGTTTCGGAGGTGCATCATCTTGGCTATTGCTATCAGTTCCTGAAGACGATTAAACAAGAGGGACAAAAGAGATTTTAAAAAGGAGTCAATCAGAAAAAAGGTTTTAAAGAGCATCTTAGTAAAAAAAAAAAAATGGAGGTTTGAATTGTTAAAGGGAAAGTCCACCCCAAAAATAAGTTTGTTTCGATAGAGGCAGAATAATAAGAAAATCAGGTGAGTGAAAGTTTGAGCAAATTCTGAATGAAAATAAGAAAGTTATGAATTATTGAAGTTGTGATCAATCAAATACAAATTGGCAACTCTGTGACTTATTATACGAGCTCTCCTTCATTTGCTTTGTGCATAATATTCCATAAAATCATGTTTTCTTCGTTATTGATGACGGAATATATATTTGTTCCTTGCAGGGGGAGTATAGAAACATATTTGCAATTATTATATTTAGGGTGCATGTATGGTTGAAATTTTTCTTGAGGGAAAATGAAAATTTTAGATTTTTTTAGTACTGAGCAAATGGAAGTTGAGCTCGCATGATACGTCATAGAGTTGCCAATTTGTGTTTGATTGATCACAACTTCAAAAATCCTAACTTCCTTATTTTTAATCGGAATTTGCTCAAACTTTCACTGACTTGTTTCTCCCATTTTTCTACTCCTATTAAAACTAACTTAATTTCAGGGTGGACTTCCCCTTTAAATGGCTCCTATGTGTACCTCTTTAAAACTATCATATGATATACTTTAAGTTTCATACTGTTGTTTGTGTAACCCTAGATACATGTATGTGTAATATTAATGCATAATTATCATGAAATATGTCCATGTCATCCATTACACATAATCATATTTCATTTTCAAGGATTATGACTCTCTGAAACTTTAAATATATCCAATGTTGAATTCTTTTTTAATCAAACTTGCACAATGTTCAGTTTTTTGTTTTGTTCTTTGTCTGGCTTATTTGTTTTATTTTTGTTTCTTGTTTTTTTCTTCAAAATTCATTAAAGAAATGTTCTATTAAATATAAAGGTTAATTAAGGTGTATAACACCATTTAAAATTAGTAATTGCCCCAAAAATTGTCAAAATTTGGTTTACTTTTAAGAGAATCTCCACTGCAAGACAAATCTTACCATTTCTACTATTGAAGCTGAAACTTGAAGACTGTGGCTTTCTAGTGTTGCCTCTAAAGTCTGGATCTGTCAGTTCTTCTATCAATTTCTTGGCCTTTGCTTGTGCTTCTTCTCCACCTTCTAGATTGATTGTAGTCTCGTATCCATCAGACTCTCTGGACATGATCTGAAAGGAAAGTTTCAATAAAGGTCAAGTACTTATTATATACTGTAAGGAACAAAGAAGTCCTCCTCCTCTTCTTCCTCTTCCTCCTCCTCCTCTTCCTTCTTCACCTCTTCTTTGTCTTCTTCTTTTGCAAAATTAAAGCCACAAAGAGTTTTAAAAAATACCCTGAACAATATTGGTTAATAAAATTGTGCAAGTAGGGAAACAAAATGTTCATCTTCTAAATCAGACCTGTAAAAGTACACTGTATGTGTTAGTGTTGAATTAGAGTCTCTGCTTCTAGACTAAACTTTCGCCTCATGTTCCACATTCACTATTCAAGGGACAACATTTGGAATGAATCCAAGACCCTATTTCCAAACAAGCCCCTGGTTTGAGGCAAAATCATTTGAGGATTGCGCAATCCTGTGAGTCACGTTGGGATTATTTCGCAATTCTTCCAGCACATTAAGAGAAAATAGATATGTTGGTTTAATCATGTAAACCTTTTGCATGTGTAAGCAACCACACAGTGTAGGATTAACATATGATTTCATGATAGAACTGTACTACCCAAGTTATTTCCATTTATTTCAATCTTTCCTTTCCAATTATTTTCAAGTCACTGAAAAAAAACTTTTTTCCCTCTGTACTGTATATAACAAATCATTAAATTAGAACCTTACAGGGATAATTTGTGAATTATTTGATCTATTTTCTGCAAGCTTTTCAGAAAATAAATAATCTGTTTGGAGTCAGAAAGGCATTTGATAACTCATATTATTTAACACAGAGTTAACACCATTCTGGCTCTGAACTGACAAAATATTCTTCTTTGATTTGTTTACCTTTATTCTGGCACCACTCTCTTGTTCTAGTTCCCTGATCTTTGCCCCTTGTTTTCCTGGAAAGAGAAATCTTTGGTTATAAATACACATGCATGCAAATCAATTAGACACAATTTGACAAATTATGCATTTCTCACTTTTCAGCTCTACTCAATCAAGACATTCCCTCAAATGGAGTCTTTTTGCTACTGGATGCTTAACTTAATAGGCTACCAGCATGTGATACATCACTGTTTCATCTTTGATGGAATTATGCCAAACTTCCACATTCCCACAACTTCTGATTTTGATGAAACATCTCGTCATCTGTTTGTTTTATTTTTGCTGGAAATATTAAATATTGTCAATCGGATACTCAATCCAAATCACGCCAAATTCCTTTCATAATCATAATGTTGAACCTGATTTTTAATAAAATCGCAATTAAGCGCAGCATCTGGTTTGAACTTGACTTTGAGAAGAACACTGGCAACTGACTTTTTAATTTGATTGAGTTCTACATTTTTAAACAAACAAAATTCAGAATCAATTACAAATTACAAATAACCGTACACAATCTTCCTTTTTCCTAGCAAAAATAACTTTACCTATTATTCTGCCCAGATACTGATTGTCCACTAAAAGAGATCCTTTATCATCTCTTGATCTCTCGTCATCTCCTCTCCTTCCTCCTCCTCCTCCTGTTTCTCCATACCATCTTTCTTGTTTATCTCGCGATCCTGCTTCGTTATTCTCACGTTCATTCTTTCTCCAATTGGGACTTGACGATCGTCTGCTGTCATACCGACCTGAATTCCAAGTTCTACTTTCACCTCTCCATTCTCCTTCATCATTGCCATCATTTCTACGATCATTATTCCTTTCCAACGCAATCCCACGGCCCCGACCAATGCCAGATGATGCCGTCCTGCCTCGATCGTCATCGCGACCCCTGTATCCAGTGCCGCCGCCACGGCCCACGCTTGATCTCGCCCGGCCCTGGCCGTATGGCGCGGAACGGTCCTGCCCATAGTTGCTGGTCGACTGCGAGTTGGCATAATCATCATTGCTCCAACGGTTCGTGTTTTGACTTTGAGGCTGCGATGAAAAGGACATTCCTCGCATGTCATTCTCGATTTCTTCCTCCCAGTCGCTCATTATGAATGTAAAGTGTGCTATAAAACGCACAATACTGAGGTGAGAAAGAAGGTGCAGATTGTCATTCGCGTTTGGCCTCTTGATCTTGGGTTCACATGTGTTTATTTACACGGAAGTGACATTACAATACGCATGTGCTCCGCTGACACAGCTCAGCAGGAATATGCAGGGCATGTCACGACGATTATCACTTCGATACATTAGTCAAATAACTGGATAAGTTTTTAGCCCCCTCCGAGCTCCCTAAGCTTTCATTTAGAAATAAGAAGAAACTTCTCAGACTAAAGTACATCGCATATTTGCAAAACTTTTAAGTTTAATTCAATTCAATTCGATTCAATTTTGGTTTTATTAAAATATACCAAATAAAAAGTCCAAAGACTAATACTTGGTTCACATTGTATCATATAAAAATGCATGAAACCAGTACTATAAATTTAAAAATTCAGTATCTAATATAAGTTGAAGTACGAAAAAATATCACGAAATGTAAATGTTAAATGGTATATTAATATCAATGCTACAATATAAAGATATTGATTAAAATTTAAAAGTTTACTATATATAAAGAAAATCAAGAAAAATAGAGTGAAAAGTAGCTAGGGGAGAGGGAAAGGATAAAGAGATAAAATTTGAAAGAGAGAGAGAAGGAAAGAAAAAAGGGGGCGGAGACAAGAGAAAGATGAGGGATGAGAGAAAGAGATAAAAAAGAAAAAAGAGTTCAGTTTATGACAAAACAATGTAAGCAAATGAACTAGAATTGAGTTGATAACTTTTTGTTTCTTCTTCCAAATCAGTGTCGGGGGCCTACTCGATCCTCTCCCTGCCACCCTCCCCCGGCCCGTGTTTTTTGTTTGTTGTTGTTTAGATAACATTATGATGCGAGCGATGGTAGTGGGTGAGTTTGGGTGGAAATCCTCTCAGTAGCTTTAAGTATGTTAAAGAGGCTATGACTAGTATTGAAATCTCTATACTCGCAGGGAAGGGCCTGATAACGGATGATAAAACAACATCTATAAGCGCGTGTGGTAATTGCCTTGAATTGGAAAACTCCTTCATTTCCTAAACCTAAACATTTTATAGAATTATCCAAATGGCAATTATGCAATACCATTTTGGGAAGCCTGGCTGGCCCGGGCTTAAAGGATGCCAAGTTGTTAGTTGAGTATTGGAATTGGCTAGATGGTATAGGGCAAACGTTCAATTAAATTAAATTAAAAAGGGCATACTTAATTCTCATACTATGACCTATTTAGAGATGTTGATGATTGTGATGTGATGTGATGTGGGGCTGGCCTTTAAAAAAATATATATCTATTTAGGTAGTGCTAACACTACCTCCCTCCCCCCCCCCCCACACTGAGCATAAATAACGGTCTGCGCGATTTTCACATTTTCGGGGGCAAATACGAAAACAATTATGCTCACTACCCCCCCCCCCCCCCCCCCCCCACTGAACGAAAAATTGGTCGGCGTGATTTTCACATTTTAGCCCCCCCCCCCCATCAGCAAATCCTGGATCCGCCACTGCGAAAATGTAGGGCAAACCGGGGGCATTTATTACACTTGAAGGAAAAAGGGCACCTGTCATATTTGAATAGGGGCACTTTATATTAGAGGTGGAAAGTGTCACAGTTTATGAGAAGGGAAAATGGGCACTCTTTAGAAAGAAAAGGGTGTACTTATCTGAAGTAAAAAGGGGCACATTTTATGTAGATGGGCGCTTTGGGGGTACCCGAAAAATTGACGCATTGTCCCCCTTGCCCCCACCCCCGGAGAAATGAAGATGAAATTGACTACTGCTGAAGTATATACCCAGTACATTGTTTCCTCTTCTGAAAGTATACTTCCTGAAGAGCCTTCAAAAACTTCAAATGAGCTTCATAAATGCCAAGACTCTTTCTGACTTCTTCCCAAGAGGCCTTTCGATAATTGTAAACACTTCGAAGACGAGAGCTGTTATTCCTAATAGGACGAAATGTCAATAATATTTCCTTTTTTTCTTCTTTTTTTTTGGTATTGATTGAAACATGTCTTTGCGATAAGCAGATGTTAAGGAAAACTTTCAACTTATTGAGTATCAGGCGCGGATCCAGGATTTCTAAGGGGAGGGGGCCCAACTTTTTTTTTTTTTTGCTCCCGAAAATTTGAAAATCGCGCCGGCCGAAAAGTCGCTCAGTGTGTGGGGGGGGGGGGGGGGGGGGGGGGGGGGGGGGGGGGGGGGGGGGGGGGCAGAGCACAATTTTTTTTTTTTTTTTTTTTTTTTGCTCCCGAAAATTTGAAAAACGCGCCGGTCAAAAATTCGCTCAGTGGGGGGGGGGGGGGGGGGGGGGGGGGGGGGGGGGGGGGGGGGGGGGGGGGGGGGGGGGGGTGGGGGGGGGGGGGGGGGGGGGTTTTTGGTTTAGTGACACATTTTTTTTTATCCTCAAAAAAAATTCAATTTGCACCCCCCCCCCCCCCTTGAGCGCCAGGGGGGGGGGGCAACCCCCAAAAAAGGTAAAAATCACGTGATTTTACATGATTTTTTTCTCAAGGGGGGGGGGGGGGGCCGGGCCCCCCGGGCCCCCCCCTTGGATCCGCCACTGTTGAGTATAGAGTCAGATAGGAACTCAGTAACTCAAGAAAGCAAACTCTAATGATTTGTCTCCGACCTATCGACTATAAAGTTAACCATCAGGAGGCGGATGAGATTGGAAAAGCTCCACCCAAATTTAAACATTTTAATTTCAATTTGAACTTTTGTAACGAACCATGCATGCTTGGGTTTAAAGCCCCACTGTCCTAGTTGTAGCTACTTGCTCCCTCTATATAGAAAACTTCCCCAATCCTTGCCTGTCGTGTCCCCCATGAAGAGCTGAGTTCATGAAATAGCCACCTGTCAGTGACCTCGCTGTGTGGTCTAATCCCTCCTAGCCACACTAGTGTTGATAAGCTTTAAGATTGTAGAAGGTCCATCATTTGCCAAAGGAAATACAACATGGTAGGCCTATAACAAAAAATATACAATGAAACCAAAAATATATAAAAGTAATGGCACGAGAAAAGGGGGATTAATACTCTCATACCCGGGGCGGGACTACTCAGATTTGGTTACAACGCGCGGGGCTTCAAAACCCCTACCCATTTTCATTTTGGAGGATTTTTCTCGAAGTAAAGCCCATTTTCCAAATTTTCGGGTGTTTGCATGGCATGCATGGCAAACACTAGGGATTTGTTGTAAAACGTTACAATAGAGCGGCACACCCCTGTATACCCCCTCACCCCTTACCCCCCCCCCCCCCCCCCCCCCTCTCATACAACTTCAAAACTTCACAACTAGTATATATGTCTCTTTACCTCCACCATAGTGAACGGCAGCTGTTTGATGACGCGACGGCGAACACATGTCAACATGCATCATGCATATTTATGCCGCATGCGAATGCCGTATGTATTGTGCGAGCGACAATACTGTACGTGTATAAAGCCTCGCTGACTAGATTCGACTGCACATAGTTCGAGTGAAAAACTGAAGAGAAAGACTGAGTTAGAGATGGCGATTGAAAAATGTCTGGAGAAAGCGTGAAAGTAACCGGTGAAGATCTTATCTGGAACACTGAGCTTGAAGTCAGTCTCTTCTATGCTATGAGAGGACACAAACCTGTTGGTGAGTCATTTGTTTAGGCTTTTGCCTTTCAAAAATTATTGTAGCACATGCAAAATCATGAAAATGATGCACCGCACAGTTGCAGTCTTTGTAATTGCATCATGCATGTAAATGATTTTGTGTACAAACAATACCTGCACTCTGCACCAAGCTGCAGTTTTCCAAACTGGAGGAAGCCAAGGCCAAGCAAAGAAGAAGAAGTCTAATAAATAACTTCAGACTCTGAATCTGAGACCGAGTCATGTCAAACCCCAGGAGTGTCTTGTGTGTCAGTCAATCTCAGTGCACTAATCCTATGTGATCACCATGTTGTTTGCATGATGCAGTCGGCTCAGTCAGATGTGAATTTTGCATTCATTCAATCATGTTTCGGAAAATCGAGCAATAATTTCATGATGATTGATCATTGATGACCATGCATGTTAACAAATAACAATAAATGACATGTCGCCCTCAATGATTATTTTCATCCCACTAATTAAATTGTTCATCATGTTCGCGATTGTAATTTTTAACTGTTTAACCTGATTAACTTTCAATTTTAATCCTTTTTTAAAAGCAAAACTAGACCTAGACCTCTACTACTTTTATAGATCTAGTAATCTAGTTAAATGAAATGGAAAAAGGAACAGGTAATCTACAGATGATACTTGATGGAAGAAAAACTCCTAAAGAGCCAAAGAAACCGGAGAAGAAGGAGAACAAAATGCAGAAAGTCATGACAACCCAACAATCTGTATATTATTCACCTTGTATTTTGCCAGTTCAGGTATTGTTGACAGCTGGTCATACCAATGGTCCCTGTAAGGAGAGTTCTAATTTATAGTCCATTCAATTTTCAATTTCAATTTCAATTTATTTGTGTTTCCACCAAAACATTACAAATTAATTATAAAAATTTACAACAAATATAGAAATACATATTGGAAACAGAGGGGTCCACTAAGATTCAATGCTTGTACAAGTATGAACACCGTGAACACGGTACACCTCAAGTGATACTTAAAATAATGAGCAATTACTACAAAAGGAACTACATAGGGAAAAAAGGGGGTTGCCAACAGAGACAAGAACGAGACAAGACAGTACTTTAAATGACAAAGATAGAAGAACACTGTCATAAGACAAAGAGTACACAATGCCAAAAAAAGAAGTGAGAGATCGGGGGTACAGAAAATAAAACAAAATGATGAGCTGCATGTGGGGTTGAGAAGAAGATAAGGAAAGAGAATGCGCGTTAGAAAGGCGATAAGCATGAGAAGGCACAATATAATATATCAAATTACAAGTCCCATTGGTTCCTTGCTGCTCAACAGATAATATTATGAATCATTTAGGCAGCTCTAATGTAGGATGACATATTGATACATTTGTATTTTGTTCTACTTTTCTGTTCACGCAGGTGTTAACAAGAATTTTCAGATGATGTGCATCCATGAGAAATTCAACCAGGCCACAGGTCGTCAGGTGACCTCCAAACAGATATGGGACCACCTGGAAACCTTGTATGACATGCAGGCATTGGTAAGTCATACACAGTCATGGCACTATCATGTACTGTACATGCAGCAGGGGTTATCCAATGTTTGCTCTGGCAATGTAAGCAGCATGGACCCGTTTCACAAAGCCTTCTTTCAATGACAAATGACAAAAATTAGTGACAAATCTGCTGATATCCAATCAGAAGCAAGGATTTTGTAGCTTATAACAAAAATTGTCTTTGTCACTGATGACAAGTTTTGTGAAATGAGGCCCTGGTGTTTAGCTTCTGGCTTTAGTATATCAAGGGTCAAGGGTTTAGTGTTGGGGTTGCTGGTGGGCTTTGGGTTATGATTAATTACTGTTAGGATCCAGATTTGGATTTATTAATTCCTTAATGTATGAAAATAACCATTTGTTTACTACCACTGCCATTTGGCAGAGCTGCTTTCTTGCCATACATGTACATGATGATCAGCAGAGAAAAATAGAATAATCAATAGAATAATTGCTCTTGATCTGTGCAACTCAAAAACTTTGCAATGAATTGAATGTAACCTTTATCTGGTCTTGATTCTTGTTTCTGATTTAGCTTCCTGACAAGTGACTACTATTCTCTCAGTGTCTTTATTAATTTTATACATGAAACATTTTGATAAACTTGTTGCCTTTGGTAAAACTACCTCATGATAAATTTAATATGCACAGAGAGATGATTTTAATAATGGCATAGAAAGAATTAGTTTTGTAACATCATGACTTATTCTATTATTTGTTCTCTCATACCAGCATGAGTCAGAGATCTTGCCCTTCCCCAACAAAGAGGTGGACTTCTCTCTACCGACGAGTGAATTCCAGGAGATGATGCAACAGAGAGGCAAGACTGGAGATCCCTTTAAGGGCTTCTCATCCTCATCACATGATAGTAAGTCAATGATTGGACATTTCAGTGAAAAGAAATGGATGGGACTGAGTGGTATGCCCCCAAAATACTCTAAAACCACTGAAACCAGAAAGTTTTGAAAATTACTTGTTACCGTAATTAACGTTGTATAAACTGCCCTCATGTATTAACCGCACCCCTCTTTTTCGCCCTTTAAAAAAAAAAAAAAAAAAAAAACATTTTTTTTTTTGCCGACTTTTTTTTGCCGGGTCCGTGTTAATGGAAATTAAAAATAAGTAGAGGACCTAGGATAGAACCTTGTGGTACGCCATGGAATAGAAGAAAAATTGGAAGAATTATGAACTACATATTGAGATCTATCAGAAAGATTACTTTCAAACTAAGATGACAGACAAATTTGAGTGTTGTTTTAGTTTCCGAGTGATGAGTCAACACACCGATTACTGAGCTGGGAGACTTGCCAGGCATAGCGCCATGTGGAGGGGAATAAATCGAAACTTTAACATTTTTTTTTTTTGGGTGTACCATGTATAAACCGCACCCCCAACTTTGATTTTTTTTTCGGCGGCAAAAAGGTGCGGTTTATACACCGTTAATTACGGTATGTATTTGCAGATTGCAGATCTGGGAGAGGTGAAAGATAATTTGTGAGCATTTTCATTATTATTTTTCTAGTGTGGAAGAACATCAGAGAAAAAATGTTCCCTGAAAAACATGGCTCTTCATATGCCTTCATATTCTCAATATGACATGTAACAGCTTAAAAATGTGGGCCTCATTTTTATGCACATGTTTGTGTAGTCCATATACATCTTTCTGTGTATACTATAGCGCTTGTTACTTTTACCGAGACTGGGTCGAATTTCTTCTCGTTTGCACTTGCAGTACACACCAATACTTATATGCTACATGATCAACTCTTTTTGATCGATTCCACACCGGTTCTTTCACAATGCAATCGCATGACCAGAACTCAACTTTATCTTGAAGGGTAGTATTTCAATAGTTCTGGAGGACAATTTGCTGCTGACCTTTAACACTTTTCATATTTTACTATATTTTACTATAAAATTTTAATCCATCTTTGTAAATTTCTTCTTTATTTTTCTGAAGGCTCCAAATCGGACTCGACCAAATCATCCATCAAGTTTGGCACACCTAGCGGCGTCGCTGCGGGCACACCATCTGAGAAGGACAACTCGCCCAAGAGGAAGAGAACGCGGCAAGCCGGTACTCCGACAGAAACGCCCTCTACTAAGCGTAGGAGATGAAAGATGCCTTCTGGAAGCTAGAGAAAGGACATGTGTAGCTCTGTCAGTAGCCTTGTATGTATTCGGCCTTTCGGAGAAGAACTTTTATGATGAATCAGAATGATGCTTGTTTGGATCAAGTTTGATTCAAAGGCATATTCTCGCTGTCGCAGGTCGCAACTTGGTTCATTGCCTCAACGCCTGTATTGAAGTCGAAGTTTATTTGTTCCACATTTACATCAAAATATTGTGATTACAACGACTGCGGGTCAAAGGAAATTGTAGCAGTGATCTGGTAAACATGTATTGTTTTTCACTTATGTTGGACATTCTTGTACAGTCACCAATCATGGATTCATCAGGTTTTTGTGTGGATATCTCAGAGTTTGGTGAGAAAGAAGGAATTTGAACTGGATATTGGACTCCTGCTTTTGTATACATTGTAACTGACCCTCAATAGATTTTCTTTTGTTTGATTAAAAAAATTAATCTAAAACATCAGGTGTTCTTGTGTGATTGTTGGATTGCTTTATTTGTATGAAGCAAATTTAATGCTGTTTTGCCAACTCGACCAACTGCCGATATCTGAAGGGGTTGGGGTGAGGGAATAGGGTAAAGTTTCATCATACCTGTTGTGGGATTTACTATAGTAGTTGAGATTATTCATGCACAGATTATGGACCCAAATACTTCAGTCTCTTATAGCGACCACTGTTCGACTGATACTACACGTACATCAGGTTCCACTGTAGTACAGGGAAGGTTGGCAAATGCTGTTTTTATTAAAGAATTCCTCTTCAAAGTTCAAACCAGACAGGTATTACTGTTAATTTCCAAGTTAAATAGATTATTACTTTCTAAAAATCAACAATTTTATCTGGTTGAAATTGAAAAGCGATATTGGCATGATTTATCAGGTTGAAAATTTGACAACCATGAAGGTTGTTTTGATCATGCCTATTTAGTACGGGTAGATAAATGTGCTGGACATATTTAACCCCCCCCCCCCCCCTCTCTTTTTGTTTTTGTTGAAGCATTTTCTCTAAGCCATCAGATATACCTGTATATCCCCTAGTGTATAAACGGTTGTTAAGCAAAATGACATAAATGACATAAATGACATAAAAAAGGAATATTGTTCAAATGCTTTCCCGCTTTGTCCTCAGAGGCACGTATCATGTACCGTACTTCTTTATCTTCAGTGTGCAACATTGCCCAGTTTTCATTGTTTTTTCAAATTAATTTTATGGCTTGATAAATATGTGGGCAACATCTGTTTTGGAATATTTATTTACATTGTTTATCTATGATTTTGATGTGCATGTACAGGCCCTGTATGAGAAATTGCCAACAGGGAGTTTTTTCATTTTCCTTTGCAAAGTGTTGCCAATTTTAAGATTTAATTTGAATTGCTACATTTAGCACAATTTGAGTGTACTTCTTCAGAAAAATGTTTTGAAACACTATTTCTTTTTGCATGGATTACCGAAAAAGCCTTCAGTAATGCATAACATATTACATCCATTATGATCATCATCTGGAGTTTTATTCAAAATAAATAGAATTATTATAGAAATAAATTCTTAGTTTTGTTGTGAGAGTTCGATTTTATGAGTCATTAAAATGCTTGATCTTGTTAAATCATATTCAAGTCGCCATTTTTGTTTTTATTGGACAACCCGTCACTACCTGAAAGTTGCATTTTTTGTGGATCTTATGATTCCTAATTTGTTCCTATATTTAGGGGGTCTCTACTAGACATGTAGGGAAATTTAAATCTCTCAGCCTGTTAAAAGTACATGTATGCAATTATAAGAACAGCTTTCTGCAGTCAGAGAAATTGGACAAAAAAAATGTGCAGTGATTTCACACTTCTGTTTTGTGTAATGTGTATTTATATACATGTACATGTAATTTTGAGCATTGTAAATGGATACATCATTCATGCCACAGTAAAATTGCACTTTGTTTTTTACATGTGTATAAAGAAATGACATTGACTTCTGTTCTTTTGTATTCTGTTGGACGTTGTGTGACAAAAAGGAATACAGAATTTGTTCACATTTGTATATTATTTAATCTTGACAATTGAATAAAATTTCTAAAGAAAAGTACTGTAAGTACATGCTTGTAAGGATAGATTTTTATGATGTGCAATGTTTCCATGAGTGGGAGGTGGAGGAGGGGGAGGGGGGGGGGGGGAGGATTCATTGATCTGACAATTGCTCCAGGCTGTATTTCATCTGAGATGTGGGGCCAGTTTCTCGAGACCATCTACATGTAACTTCTTTGACTTCCCATTGCAAGTGTCATAGAATGACCATGCTTTTATATGGGATGTCTAGAACTTAGACTTATGACGGTTTTGAGAAATGGGCCCAAGGGGTTAGAACTTGAGATGCGATTATCAGAGCTGCCAACCATTCCGTTTTTGCCAGAATTACTCCGTTTTTTCCTCCAAATTACATTTTTTTTTTTTTTTTTTTTTTTTTTTTACATACCACACGTCAAACAACTGCCTTTAAATGGTGATTTCATTACAAAATCAATAGAAAACTAATTATAAAACATACCGATAATACCAAAATAACCAAAACAAAAAAAAATTGCTTGTATGGAAAAAACAGCATGAGGAATGAACATTTCTGCATTAGAAGTGAGTCGCGCATGGTTGTAAGTTTCGTTTTATGAATTCCTTTTTTTTTGCTTGAAATTCCTTTTTTTTTGCCATTATGATTCCTTTTTTTGGTCGCACAAGGTTGGCAGCTCTGGATTATGGTTTCAATTTTCAGTTTAGGTTAGTGCTGGATACAGTGATTGGTCTAGAGTTGCAGCGAGGAATTTGATTAATGTCGGAAATTGATGATGGACCAATTGGCTCTAGAGCATGTGTCGTTCAATAATACACATGAGAAAGATATAGAAGCAGGGATGGTCATCTACATAAATGCTGCCAAAATTGATTAAAAATAATAGTTCAAAGAAATATTGTCCAACTACATCCACGTTCATGACTAGACATAATATTAGTAAGCCTCATTGTACTACTTGTAGGTACTTGCTCCCTCTATATAGAAAACAATGCCTAATTGGTGACCATTGGTCCCCCATGATCCTCTTTTTCTAATGTTAATTAAGAGCTGAGTTGATGACCTGTAAGTGACCACCCTGGGTGGTCTAATCCCTCCTGGCCAAACTAGTACAGACAAGCTTTAAAGGCCTAATGTGTGTGGAAATTATTTGGATGAATTTTGTTTGTGTTGCATGGCAAGTGGTTCTCGGTCATCTATGAACTCTTTATCATATTCCGAACTTTAACTTGAACCAAACCCTATCATCTTGAACTCTCACCTGTGCCCTTACCCCCACATCTTCGACAATGACCTTGGTGCAAAACACAGCAAAAATGTGAATAAATAACCCCGTATTTAAATCAGATCCATTTCAAGTTCCGATCTATCCTCTTTATCCCCCCCCCCCCCTCTCTCTCATCTATCTTTCCCACTTTCTCTCCCTCCTCATGCTATCATTCTCAAAACACAGATAAATTTTCATTTTATGACATTTTCCACCGCAGCATGTACTACTTCAACAGCGACTGCATTGCCTTCTACTCCAAAGTGAATATCACATGACACCCTCACAGAAAACCATCTGCCGACAAAGACCAAACTGGCTTCAGGATAAGGACTGCTTTTCTCATCTCCCTCAATGGTTTTTTGGAAAGTGTTAAGCAACTTCAGTTGCATTTTTCCAGGCAGGGAATCTCTACAAGTAAAACCTAATATTAACGCACATTCACGTACGATACAAAATCACAGAATATAATAGTTTGAAGAGTTTATTACATCTGTACATGTACAAAACAAATCAACATCTCACATTAATTAACTTGAGGTCTAGTCGCTCTAGTGTAAGAGAATTCAAAATTTACTTTTGACATTCCACTTAAAATGTACTAGATCTAGATGAACTATGAACCAAAACTACTGAACCAAAATACATGTATCTTCGCTTTAATCATTACAAAAATGATCAGGTGTAGAACAAAATGTGACCATGTGCCATGGTTACAATCTTTAAGAATTTTTTTTTTTTTTTTATGGGCATAAGTATCATATTATCCATAAACTGCCAGGGAAAATATACAGTCCACTTTAGCAGGGAATTTGATGACAGGTTGGAAGAAAGATAAAAGTAACAGTAAATTCATTCATTGTGGCTGGGCAAAATTTTGTGTGCTCTGATGAGGGTAAAAAACAACTTTTCACACTGCATCACTCTTTTGATATGAATTAACCCATTGGGTAATTTTACAGTCTATTCTAAATGAACAAATAAAATTACATGTATACTGTCAAAATAAGTTTACAACACTGATAGAGAAAGACCTTATGCTCTTTTCTCACCAACTTCTGGAGTTTATCTTTCACATAGGCTTTATACAGGAGTTACCAGGTTCCATATTTGTGCCACGAGACTGTTACACATCGATGTAAATCTTGATAGAATAATTACTGGGATCCATCTTAACCAAATCTCATCTGTTCCCCAGCTATACCCCAACATCTACATGTATGTATCTACTACACCACCAGCAACTGCCTGAGACATGGATCTCCCTTCATTCTTTCTCTTTTACAAACTCAAACTGGTGTCCTTTTGTAGAAATACATGGGTGTATGCTCTACATAGGAGGCATGGTAGAATTATCAAATAGAAGAAAAGAATATATATGTATATCCCTTGTAAACATGAATCTACACATTGATTAGATTTTACTGTGTGATTCGCTACTTTTACAGATGTAAACTTGCAACAACAGCTCGTCTTGTCTCATTCACAAAATGGTCCACAGCCTTAGAGGCTTTGAGAATAACGATAACAAAAGAACATACAGTATGCATTATTTACAAAATATGTTTCCTGGATTGCCATGGTAATGCTAGGCTTTTGCAGGCTTTAAAGGGAGGTTGGGTAATTCATGAATACCATCCTTGTCGACGATGCGGATCTGGAACGTTGGGAGGTTGACAATGAACCTCTTTTGGACCTGTAATAACACAGACAGACAGAAGGAAAATATATATATAGGCATATATATAATGAGTTGCAACAAATTCTTTTCACTGGTTATGGCAAGCCAGAGTGATGAAAACTTGTACTGGGATCAAATGAATTCATTTCTGCGTCTCACTCAAGCATTAAACATGCTCTGATTCTTTGGTTCTATTTGATAGGACAGACCCTGAACAATCCACATCTATATGTATGAGAATATCCAGATTTGTATGTGAAGAGACTTTTTTCCCAATTGTAAACTGTGTTTTTATGACTCACTGTATAACTAACCCTAACCCAACACAACCTTTACCTGTGACTAACCTTATGTATTTTGAAAATTAAATCCATGGATATATGCACATCCCCCTCCCCCCCCCCCCCCCCCCCCTTGAAGTTTGTTATTGAAGCTAGCATTAAAGTGACTCAGTAAAATTGTTGAAGGTGGATGAAAACATTGAGTAATTTTGTATGAAATGTTACCCAACCGTTTTTCTATGAAAATAAGACATAAGACAGGCTTTTACAAATCTTTCAACACTTCAACGTCTGGAATGGTATATAGAGCCAATTAATTGCTTTGTGACAATTTAAATTCACCTAAAATGTAATTGAATTGTAATAATATAGTTGGGAGAATTAAGGAATCGATCAGATCAGTTTTTTCCAATTTTTATCATTGATAATGGTCTGTTTTCACTCAAACTTTCAGATTATCTTTACTTGTACATCTAGCACCATTTTTAATCATAATGTCCCAATTGCACTAAAATGTGAGATTTGTTTAATCAATGACATATCATCGGCTGCTGCCCGCAAAAGGCCGTAACGACATTGTCAACAGTAGAAACGGCCTTGTTGTGGACAGCCGACGATGAAGATGTCACACAGATGGGCCACTTACCTCTAATAGGCACTTCTTCAACACTTCAACTGCTTGGTCCCGAGTCATATCTGAGTAACATATAAAGGAAAGATAAGATGGAGAAAGAGTGAGCAAAGACATTTACATTTAAGTACAATCAGAAATATAGGTGGCAGAAGCCAAACTAGTCTGTGATCTACTCACTCTTCATGTCATACCACTTATTCTTATTCAAATAAACCTAAGCACATGCTGTTCTATCCAATATAATACAACTCACTCCTGTAAGATCTGGTGAAGGCAGTAATTCTGAACCACAAAGAATATAATATATTTTTTCAATTAAAAAAATGAAATAAAATGCTTTCCAGTACTATCAAACAATTGGTAAGTGTATGATGTCCAGCAGTGCTCGAGGAGGTAAGTGTCCTCATATGCATATGCCCACCTTTACATTCAGCTTTCAGGGAGGATTCATTCCGAAATCAGGGAGGTTTCTATCGATTGCATACACCATAATAGAGATAATCTTTCAATGAATCAGGGAGGCATTCAAGTTTGTGTGGAGTGCCGTATCAAAAAAATAAAAATAAGGAGGCCTCCTTAAAAATCAGGGAGGGTTGGCATCTCAGCATATGGTGTGTGTGCGCCAAAGTAAGCGCACTAAACTCAATTTTTTTTTTAATGACATTGAGTAATCTCCAAATGACTCCTTTTAAAATCATCTAGGAGTGTCGTATGAAACACATGATTTTCGCTACTTTTGATGAAATCTATCTGCTCTCACTGAGGATGTGTGCACCTATCATACTCAGCATGAAGGCTCAATAAAATTGATGCACGCAGCCTCACCTCAGGTGCTGATAGATTGTATAATGAGCTCAATCACAATGAATTATTTACATATACATTTCATTATTTAAATGTTATAACTGAATAATTACAACATGTTTTATTTTACGATTATTTGATATAAGTTGTTTAGTTAATTAGAATTAGTTATTAATATGAAGATTGCTAAAAGTATTGATTTCTTATATTCTTGTGTGTATTAATAATTTGTAAACTGAATTGTATGAGTCTCTGGACTTTTTATTCAGAATGTTTTATTTACAATAAACCAGAATTGAATTGAATTGAATTGAATATACTAGCCAACTCTCACCTCTCCTGTAGTGCCTATCAAGGATACTCAGTGTAAAGTAGGATCCGTAGCCGTGAGCAGCGAAAGGGACCTGCTGCAGTGAACCCAGGTAGTCCATGTAGAACAGGCAAGGACCATCCGTCTCATCATGACCAGCTAAGAGTAGGTTCACCTGGTATGGTGTCTGTGATGGGCAAACAGGAGACTCAATTATTAGTTAAAGGGGCATGTTCCCGCCAGTGTAGTTATCGCTGCTCTAGTCATCGCCATCTTGGTTCCGAAGGTCGACTTCTAATTTGCATACAGCTGTCAATCAAAGTACGCGCGGCCTGGCCTGCCTTCGCCAAGCCAGCTGATTGCTGCCGATTGCGACGTCACGAAAGTGGGCGGAAACAGCAGCCGAATCTTAGAGCCGAACTGCGATTGGTATTACTTCGGCACATGTATGCGATAATCGACATTGTCCGGGCATTCGGAACATGCCATCTGCGTAAGAGCCGTATTCTGTTGATGTCAATAGGCAGCTAGCACCGTCCGCCAGCGGGTACGTATTTTGAACGCCCTCTGGAATACGGGGAACATGCCCCTTTAAATGTACATATTTTATTACCAATACCTGACTGTTGATAGGGGCCTCATGAATTTGGCAATTATTTAAATCAATGTGTGAGACTGCAAAGCATTTCTCAAACAGACTGCAGCATTGATATATTTGGTTTAAAAAAATTAAAACAAAAAAGTTATAATAATTTCATCTCATTTCATTTATTTAGTTCCACTTCTCATAAAATATATATAAAAATTTACATACAATATGTGATTAACACAACAAAACAAGAAAATTGCATAACAATATTAGAAAGAATTAAGAGTACCTAGAATTTATACTCGAGACTGTGATGGAGGATTAATTTCTGACCATCAGCTTTTTTTGCATTTTAAACATTCTTTACGCAACATTTAAAGTTCACATGAATTGCAGCCTATCTTAGCATTTAGTCACTTAACAAAATGCTATTAACATCTGTTTACTGATAGCAACAAGGAAAAAAATATAGTGATCAGACATTTTTTCCTCAAAGACATACGTGTACATGTAGCTTTAGATGTAGGATTTGGGTTAAGGTTGCATTTGGGTATTAGCCTTAGATTAGGTTCATGGTAAGGCCTTGGAATAGTGTTTGGTCGGATTGGTCCTGTTCGAAATTCAGTTAACGGATGAAATTGATCGCTGAGCAATCGTCGTAGGAGCATGTGCTGTCTCGTACAGCTAGATATATTGAATTTTGCTGTGGTCTTTGCACTAAGGATATGCGTTGAAAATCATGTAAGATTTACTTACCTTACTGCGTAGGAAGTCTGCCAGGTTTTTCCTTGTGAAGTTAGCAGCTGCTTTCGGTGACAGTTCATAACCTGTAACAGATTTTAACGAGAAGAATTATCGGTAACGTAAAATCACTGTTAAGAAAAGATCCTTCAATTGTCAAACATATCAAGTATATGTGTATATCAATGCTGCTCTGCTGTTCAATCAGTTTTTACCAACCATTTGATATTCTTTATGTTGAATGAAGTTCTGAAACTTCTTACCATGCAAACGATTGTCCAAAAATACGTTCTACTTTTTTCACAAAGCTGTAAGCTGCCAGCTACAATGATAAAGGTAAAGTGCATTTTGGTTGGGTTTTTTTCAATTGCTTTCTCACTCTTTTTATGTCAGTTTAATAAAATATCAAAATAGAAAGGATCCCTGAAAAGGATTGCTATTCACATAGCCTCCTATAAAAAATATGATAAGAAATAGCTGCTTTTTGGTTTGGACTAAATTGTCATGCCACATATTATGTGGCGCACCCATTTTTGTATGCAGTGCATTAGAATTTCAACAAGATAGAGGTCAATTAAAGAGCTGTTTGGTAGCCTGGCAGTGTTTTAGGTTGGTAACCCTTAGCCTACATTTTTGCTGAATGCTAAACATGGCCATCTCACCGATAAAACTGACTTTTTGCACCCTGTACTTAAGAATTGTCATACTCTAACAGTTGTCAAGAAATGTATGAAAACACATATTTTCTAATTTGTTGTAATATTCCTCTCTGTTTGTAATTAACGTAAGCTTCATATCATAATGTGCTCTCTTTTTGTTATCTGTTAGTATTTCTTGTTTATGCGCTTTGTATCTAATGAAAAGGGGATTTATAAAATGTAATATATTATTATTATTTACTTACCGTTCCTGATCTTGTAGAGCTGAATATTCTTCTGGATATACTCTGCAAACTGGACAGTATCACCGGACTCACCAGCACACAACATGAGGAGCTTACTGCTCAAAGGAAACATCTTCTCTTGGTCTAAAAAGTGGAAAGGAGGGGGAGAATGAAGGAAAAGGTGGAGAGTTGTTATTTTTTGTAGTGATTGTACATATTGCTATTGTTATCTATATTAATTTGCATTTGAAATATGAATGCATTTATGATGCTGATTCTCAACATGCAATATCATGCTTATGCTCACCTTATTTTGTATACTATGTGACACCAATTGGAAACAAATTTCTGTATATATCGAGTCTTATCAACACTAAAACTTGAATCGTGAACATGTAGGTTTAAGTGTAAATTAGGATGTACAATTCCAACTTTTGATTTGTTAGGAAGTTTCTTCTCTGACGCTTAGTTTAGGAGCAAGGAAGATTCTACAATAGTAGTCTACCATCGCTTTTACCTAGCTGGATCAGTAATTTCAATTGTTCATAAATTTGGCATTGTTTCGACGGGTTGGATTATAACATCTTTTTACATTTCAACTATATCTTCTTCTTCTCCTTCTCCTTGTCTTTCTCCTTCTCTCTTTTTTCCTTCTTCGTTTCCTCCAGCACCTTCTTGATCTTTGTTCTTCTTCTTCATCTTCTTCTTTAAAAAAAACACAAACAACTCTTGACTTTGTCTTAGTTTGGATCTTCTTCTTGGCTTCCTTATTTTGTTTCTCTTTATCCTTCTTCTTCTTCTTCTTCTTACAAAAAACACACACAAATTTGTCTTAGTTTGGATGGTTGGGTCTTCTCTTCTTCTTCGCTTCCCCATTTTCTTTCTCTTTTTCTTCTTCTTCTTCCAACCCCCCCCCCCCCCCCACAAATTTGTCTTACTAGTTTAGATGGTTGGGTCTTCTTCTTCGCTTCATCATTTTCTTCTTCTTTTTTCATTCTTCTTTTCCTCCTGCTCCTTCTTTGTCTTCTCTTCTTCTTACTTGAGTTTTTAGATGGTTAGCCGTTAGGTCTTCTTGTCATTTTCTTTTTCTTTTTTCCTCTTCTTGTCATTTTCTTTTTTTCTTCTTCTTCTTCTTCTCATTTTCTTTCTGGGCGTTGTGGCGTGCGCTTAAAATCCAACTTCTTGTTCTTCCTCCTCCTCCTCCTCCTCCTCCTCCTTCTCCTCCGTTGGTTTCAGAGATCAGCAATCAATTCATTAGTTGCCAGGTTGCGGACTTGTCTGGTTGGATCGAGCTGCCGAGCGCAAGCCGAGTTGTCATGCGCCCGACGTCGACAACACTCCATTTTAACGAACGCGAATTACAGGCAATGGGACCATTACATGATCTAGGGTGGCACAATTCCGAGATAACAGTCATCAAAACGGTTCATTTCCCCCTCTACATCATGAAAATAAAAACCTCTGTCAGTGGTCTATCGCCCCTTCCCCCTTCCCACAAATAAAATTTCACATTGATTTCTAGTTTTTGAAAGAAATAGATCTAGATTTTCTAAAGATTAACAAAAGAGGAGATTGCATTTTCATTCACCGTTCACTCAGTTTACAAATCACATTCACAAACTCAACACACTTTTCCAAAAACAAAAGGTTGTGTGTAACACTTACCATGTTTGAAGACAAAAACACTTCTTCCTGCATTCATGTCGGATGCAAGTAAAACATAATCAGGACCCTGAATGCCTAAAAGAAACTCCATTTTGTAGGAATATGATGATAAAAAATATCAACCACAGGATAAAACATGCAACTTCATTCACCTTGGAATGGTTGATTCTGACCGTAGATGGCAGCATTGCCAAACAATCTGCGGATCGGAGCAAACAAAAATAATATTGTTTCCTTCAGCTAATCTACTTTATTATTATTTTAAATCTTTCATACAAATCATTATACCCCCCCCCCTCCCCCCAAGAAAAAAGAAAAGCGAAATTAAGAAAGAAAGAGAGAAAAGGACAAAATAGAGGTAAAGAACAAAAAATATGGAAAGAAAAACAGATAAATAAATAAATATAAAAAACAAAAATGAAAAAAGAAACTAAGAAAGAAAGTTACAATCCGGTTTATTGGTCTGCCTTCAAATTATTAAGGTATAGTCATCCAGTGTAAATGATGTTAAAAAAAGTCTGGATAATTCAAAACTTTATTGTAAAATGTTCAACGTACGTGGCCGTCCTGTATTATTCATTGCGGAAGAAGGTTTCATGCGATATATAGCATTTGTCTGTTGAGTGTATAAAGCAGGGCCGTAATAATATGATTGCAGGCAGGGACCTCCAATGATAACCATATTAATGCTGATCAGGTTACCGTAGGTAAACAAGTAATATTATCATTATCATTATCATGATATGATTATATTTGTATAAGGAAAATAACTGAAACAATGATTTAGACGATTGCAAAGTTTTTGGAGTTACTTAGACCTTGCTCAAGTTCATAAATATGATTATAAACTGAGTTCCCCCTCATTTTTTCGAAAAACTGACCACCAATGTAAAAAGACTCAAACCACTGTTATTTTTCTTTTTCTCTTTATCCTTGTTTATTTGATGATCTGTAATGACATTTCCCAAAAGAAAGAGAGAGAGAGAGAGAGATGGGGGGGGGGGGGGGGGGGGGGGGGGTCATGGGGCATATTACAGGCAGATGTGAAACGAGACACAGAAAACTGGGCAAAGAAAGGGAGATATGGGAGATTGTGAAAGACAATAGAGGGGACAGAACTCTCGAGGACGATGCAGGGAATAGAATTGTTATTTTCATGTATGCAATAGGAATACCATCAGAGTTGGAACATGGAATGTGAGAACACTGTATCAGAGCGGCAAGCTGGAAAATGTTAAACAAGAGATGATGAGGCTAAATGTCAACATATTAGGACTAAATGAAACAAGATGGCTGAATAACGGCGAGTTTGTGATAGATGAGCACAGATTGATTTATGCAGGAGGTGAAAAGCATGAAAGAGGTGTGGGGTTACTGCTGGATCCAGATATCTCAAAGAGTGTGTTGGGACACTGGTGTGTAAGTGATAGGGTGCTCCTAGTGAAACTGCAGGGACACCCTTTTAACATCTCAATCACAGTGGTTTATGCACCAACGGCAGATAGTGCTGACGAAGTTATTGACACCTTTTATGATTCCTTAGATAAAGCTAAATCTCAGTGCAAATCGAATGACATTGTCATTGTCCTGGGAGACCTGAACGCTAAAGTCGGTCAAGGTACAGAGGGTAAAGCAGTAGGTCCGCATGGAATTGGTGAAAGGAATGAACGAGGGGACAGATGGGTTCAGTGGTGTGAGGGGGAGAACATGGTCATCACTAATACTTGGTTCAAAGAACACCCTAGACGAGTATACACTTGGAAGAGTCCTGGCGACATCGTCAGAAACCAGATAGACTATTGCCATAGTAGATTTAAAAGAGCAGTGAAACAATCAAAAACGTATCCAGGGGCTGACTGCGGAAGTGATCATGTGCCGGTGATAATACACTACAGTGCAAATTAAAGAAACTCAAGAGACCAAAAGTTGTGAAAATATTGGATTTTAAACAGTTGAGTAAACCGGACATACGTCAAGAATTTACTGTACAAGTAAAGAATAGGTTTGAGTTGCTCATAGATGAAGGTGAAGAAAACACGTGGGAGACGATGAGAAATATTCTGGTAGAAACAGCGGAAGAGTATGTGCCGACGAAAGAGAGAAAAAGAAGGAACAAATGGATGACAGAGGAGATTCTTTTGATGATGAAAGATAGACAGAAAATTGGAAATAGACAATGCAAGAAATATAGGGACCTAGACAAACAAATTAGGCAAAAATGTAATGAGGCAAAAGAGAGCTGGCTAAACGAACAATGTGTAGAAATTGAAAATCAATTCGATAAGAATAGTACACTCTAAAAAAAAACTGCTCAATTTGAGTCAAAATGTTACTCTTTTGGGTGGTCAAAAGGAAACCACCCGACTTTTGAGTAAACTTTACTCAGCATGTGTTGAGTAACAAATCTACCCATCTGTTGAGTAAAAATATTACTCAATAAAAGATTAAATCTCTACTCAGTTTGAATGAGTCAACCTTTACTCAATATTTACTCTTTGTTTAGCGGTTTCCTTTTTACTCAGTACTGGGTAGAAACGTAATCAACTCATGTCGAGTAAGAAACTGCTCATGAGTTGAGCCAAATTTTACTCAATTAACGAGTACATGTTTTGACTCAAATTGTTTGAGCGATTTTTTTGCTCAATTATTGAGTATGTTTTCTGGGTAACGCTTAGTTGCTCAATCAATATTGAGTAAAAACATGTACTAAGTTAAGTACATGTTTTTACTCCATTAGGGGTGCAAACCGATGCAATAGCAGCACCTTTAGGGGTTCAATCCTGCACCCTTTAAAAGGTGCAATCCTGCACCCATCATCGAGGAATACTGGTAAAATTTGCTCGTACACAAATACATATTAAACATGCATGATGTTTCTTGGTTAGTAATCATATAATCAATATATCTATTGCTAAAACGTGAATGTAATTGTAACATGATCAGACAAAATAATATATTGGTTAATGATTGCCAAAGGAAAATACAAAATCAAAAAATTGATGTGCATTGTCATAATTTGCTTAACAAATCATGATAAATGTATTTTTATGTGAACACGTGGAAAGTAATCATGAATATGCATGCAATATGCAAACTTTTATTTTGCACCCTCTTTTGGTCGATAGGGTTCATTTTTGTGGGAAGGGTGCAAAATCTTATATTGCACCCTTTTTTTAACCCCTTTTCCTTCAATAGGGTTCATTTTTATGTAAAGGGTGCAAACTCTTATCTTGCACCCTTTTTTGCACCCTTTTTTCTAAGAGTGTATCTCAGTTCTTTCGCATCTTTCTGCACGCGCACATGCATGCACGAGACATGCACATGACGGACAATGAAAGAGTACAAAATATCCAGTTCCTTAGGTAGACAAAGGAACATACAGCTGCTATTATGTAAAAATGTGTAGAACAGGTGTCACATGCATATTGACAGCTAGTTGCACTTTCCATCGATCCAACTTTCACTCGCACCCGAGGTAAATTCGGGTAAGAGATCAATGTTGATTTATTTATCACCTGCCGCAGCGTAATACCCAACCGTAGTTTACTCAAAATTGATACAAACGAAATTCGTACTCAATGTTGAGTCATTGATTTACTCTTTATCGAAGGTAACAAATTACTCGGGTGACGAGTATCACTAAAATCAAGGTCTTACTCCAGCTTGAGTACTGAATTGCTCATTTTGTTACTCAACTTGTTTTACTCGGCACAATTTACTCGCTGACATTAAGAGTGTAATGTTTACCAAAGAATAAATGAGATTTCAGATAAAAAAAGTCTGGTTGTTCAAACCCTGGCTGTATCAAAGGAAAAGATGGGTCAATCCTGTTTGAAATGAAGGACAAAATGAGTAGGTGGACGCAATACATTGGCGAACTTTTTGAGGATAGTAGGGAAGCAATGCCGAGTTTTGCAGATGAAGTCAAAGGGGAGAAAATTCTTAAATCTGAAGTCCGTTGGGCAATGTCAAAGATGAAGAAAAACAAAGCAGCTGGACCAGATGGTGTGGTCACTGAAATGTTTGAAGCATTAGAGGAATATGGTGTTGATAGATTAACAGAAATTATCAACAAAATATATGATGACGGAACATTTCCAGATGAATTGGGCAGATCCATTTTCATTACTCTCCCAAAGAAACCGGGAGCCGTGGATTGTGAGCAATATAGGACAATCAGCCTTATTTGCCATATCACTAAGATTATTTTGAGGATTCTGCTTTTGAGAGCAAGAAGAAGCATAACTCCCATGGTCGGAAGGGAACAATTTGGTTTTGTAAAGGATGCGGGCACAAGAAATGCAATATTTGTGGTTAGAAATATAACGGAGAGAGCAGTCGAAATGCAAAAGGATGTGTACATGTGTTTTATTGATTATTCAAAGGCTTTTGATAAAGTAAGACATTCAGAACTTTTTGAAAAGCTGAAAAAGCTTGATATATATAGGAAAGATCTAAGACTGCTACAGAGTCTATATTGGAATCAGTTTGCATGCATCAGGGTAGAAGGAGAGTGTAGTGAATATATCAACATCAGACGGGGAGTCAGACAGGGTTGTGTTATGTCGCCAGACCTGTTCAATATGTATAGTGAAATCATTCTAAGAGAATTGGAAGATGAAAATGGGATACAAGTGGGTGGTCATTCAATCACAAATATTAGATATGCTGATGACACTGTTTTATTTTATGAATCAGAGAAAGATCTCCAAAGACTCCTGAATGTAGTTGTAAAAGAAAGTGAGAGAATGGGACTAGGGATCAACTATACCAAGACAAAGTGCCTGGTGGTATCCAAGAAGAGCAGTCCAAAATGTAACTTGAAACTGAAAGAACAGACTATTAAACAAGTCTCCTCATTTAACTACCTCGGCAGCATGATTACCGAGGATGCCAGATGCGAGACAGAGATCAAGAGAAGGATAGCTCTCGCTAAATCTGCATTTTCAAAGTTAGGCAAAATTCTGACAAATCGAACAATGTGTATGAGGACCAGAATAAGGATATTGAATTGTTACATATACCCAGTACTTATGTATGGTAGTGAAACATGGACTTTAGCCTCTGATACTAAAAAGCGTTTGGAAAGTTGCGAAATGTGGTTTCTAAGAAGAATGATGAAAATCCCCTGGACTGATAAAGTTAGTAATGAGGAAGTTCTTACACGAGCTGGAGTGCAAAG